TCTTATTTTCAGAATTATTTTAGAAAGCAAACATTGATTGCAAACAGAAAAACCTATAAAAGACAGTTGGATATTAAATTTGGAGGGAATCTCAAGCTTTACCCTCTACCAAAACATGTAATTCAAAAGTGCCCTAAATTCACGTGGTAGCTATAAAGTTAAAAATAATGGTAGCTCTGTATTCTTAACGCCATACAGACAACTTTTTTCAACATGCCACGATCCCAGTACTCGTGCATTACATATTCTCGGAGATTGTACCTGAAATTTTCCAAATATATTCGTCTTCAGTTGATTTCAGGTGACGTTATGAAGGAAAAATGTTATTATCCTACAAGAAGGCACGCTCGTTCAATCAAAAACATATTGGTGACTTCATATCCCAAAAGAAAATTTTTGCATCTTAAAAATCATCTTGACCTCAAGTTTATGAGAAGATACATAGCGGGGACTCTCTGGCCTGTTTTGAACGAATAATTTATCTTCTATGCAAAGCATCATAATTATTCTCCAGTGAATATCGATCGAAGCTAAGCAAGAAAAAATCGCATATTGGTTGGATCACTATAGACATAACTTTTTTGCAAATAAAGGAGAGAGTTCAGTCATTACAAAACTATCACTAAATGTAGCTTCGGCTCTTAATACATATCCCTGTTTTTCTCGTTGTTGTTAAAAATACACATTCTTAAAATCACGTCTTTGCTATTTCTCCGTTTCAGCGTAGTTAACACCAAGGCAACAAAGAAGCTTTCTAAACTCTCTATGTTTGGAATTTTGAAGTCTCTACTAAAACTAACAACGGTATTGTTTTGGGACTATATCTTATTGCATACTACGAACTTTCAAAGAGCTTTCAGTACCTGAAGTTTCTCATTATTTTCTTTACAAGAAACCGCCGCCACCGTACAAACTCTCGAAGTAGTATTTGTACGTGTTTCAGGTTCATTACGTTCATATTGCAGTGTGAATTGTGCGGAGCACCTTAGAAGATAGTTTTATTTGTTTTTCATTGTTAACGCCTTGTTTCGGAAAGCGAGAAAAGCGTTTCTCGTGTTTTTGAGAAAAGGTGTCGAACATTTACAGCTGCCTTAATAATAACAATTACGACAAAACGCAATTGAACCTTTACTTCTGCATAAGCTGGAGCAAACCTTGCATACGATGGAAATAAACAAAAGACAAGTATATTAATGGTAACTATGTATAGAAAGTAATTATATTAAAATAAAATATCAGTTAAGTATGAGAAGTGATAATATTAACAATGCAATGCGATATCAGTTAAGTGCTAAATATGGAAAATGATAATAAAAAAGGAGATGTTGGTTAAAAGGAGATAAAGTGTTAAGCATGAAAAATATAAATATAAATTTTAATAAACGTTCAAAGACTGGTGTAAAGAGGTTAAGCAAACGCACCTTACTGAATGGATGGAGCTCCGAAAGCCAGTAGAGGCGTCTTAATGACTTGATGTTTCTTTGAGTAGACGTAGAAGACATCTAATAGTCAAGCTTTGCAGTGATCACATCATCAATATACAGGTGCTGTTTCTGTCTAGTTTTCAATTAACAAACGCAGATGCTCGCAGCAATGACTGTTTTTCAACTCTCTTTGTTTTGTCAATGGCATCTGGAAACCTTTTCGGTGTGCACTGATTACTACCCAGTATGACATCTCAATACAGATATCCCAAAAAATGAAAACAATTTCTGAAGGATTGGTGCCATCATCGTTTTTGTTTAAAGAACACTTTGACTCGCCTGAATCAAATGTGATACAACTTTTTCAGTTGTATTATGCATCAAATGTAAATGTTATTCCCCTTGCAAGCAGGTTGCACCTTTCATAAGCGTATAGCAGCGGCAAACTTATCAATCACTATTCAAGACATGACAAGTCGACACAGCAACGACTGGAAACAATACAAGGAATGTCCCATCATTCCTAGCGGGTGCGGTAGATAAGACTAAGCTTTTGAATAGGGCTAAGATAGGACGTTCTTACACACTTACGACCTGGCATGTCTGGCGGGTGGTTATCTGATGTTAAACCTAAGCTAAAAGGTAAATGTGAAGGAAAAGTCATGATTTTTTAATTAGCCTAATGGATCGACACATTGTGTTTGGTAGAAAGTCGAAGAATATCTTCATCACCATTGTCTATAGCCCTGCCCGGGTGAGATCATTAGCCACAGATAGACAGTATTGAAAATTTTCTTAAAACAAAAAAGCTAATTTCAACAACTGCAGTGGTATATTATTAAAATCTATAGACGTTAAAATTGATCTTATCGAATAGATTTCCATGTTCACTTCTAATTTGGTCCAATTTTCCCAGCACATTCACTCTATCCGGGGACAAATTATGGCCAAAAAGGTTGCATTAGTTGATGGATGGTGCTAAAAGTCAAAGACATTCTATTGTCTGAATTTCAGGGTGTCTAGCAAACTAAGAAGGTTCGGATCATGGTGTCGAATCATTTTGAATGTAATCACCTGATACTTTATAGGACTAAGATGATTATAATAATAATGATGATTGATATGCGATCCGGGGAAATTCATGGTCAAAAAGGGAAGCTGCAAGGATTGTTTTACGAGAAAACGTTTTCCAAAATATTTTGAATGTGTATGATGACGGTCACAGAAAATCTATTCAGCGTGTTTAACAAATCGCGGGGATCCGAATCAGGGTGTGGTATAGCCTGTGTTCCTAGGGGTTCTGGAACACAGGTTGGGTGTGGTGGCGTTTGAAATATATTCAGTTGATAGTAAATAGGGTTACAATAATAATATTGATCAAGATTGGTCATCAGGCTCTTGTAAATGATGGCTGATTAAACATAAATAGCCAATATTATGATCAAAACTACAGTCTTTAATAATACAGGCAATCAAGGTGTTTGCTGGGAATAAATTACGGCGATTATTCATCACAAGAATAAAGCCGCGGCTGTTTGAAGCAAAAATCAGAAGAAAATATTTGGGGCTTTGGCGAGTTTGAAGGCATATTTCTTCTTATTTTTAAATTATTCATGATGTTGGTGATGACGCAGGCAACATTGAATTAGGTTAATAAATTATTTCTAAGCCCATAATGGTGGTCAGATTCTTTAATTAGAAATGAAATTTCAAAACCTTTAGCTATTGTTATAAACAATTGTATGTTTTAAGACGAATCCCGCATGTAGTTTTCTTTATTATTCATTTTTTGTCTGACAGACATCAACTATAAATTGCTTTGTTTTCTTAGCGGCTGACGTGTTGGTGTGTTATCGGGGATGGTTGTAAAAGCCGACAAGAAGAAAATAGTGGTACACCGGCAAAAATCCAGCAATGGTTGTGCTCACGTTAAAATGTGCAGCATCTACTTTCGATCAGCATCTCCGTTTACCTTTAGCCAATATCCGAACTCGGAGCGGGGGGCGGGGGGGAGTGGTCCTCCAAAAGCAAGCAAATTTGGCGATAGAAGTCACAATTTACTGATTAAAGTTCTGAAAACTGTGCTTAAACTGACAATTTTGTAAAACCTGGGGGCTTTTACCCCATAAGAACACAATTCCCTAGTATGCGCATTGCTACCCAAAAAATTCCCTGTCAAAAGTTCTTGGAACCCCCAGCTGCTGGGGTTGATTCGAAGAAATAACTGTTCTACTTGAATATCAACTCCATTAGATCAAAGCAATCCTCTTAAGGAGGGGGAGAAGGATGCAGTATAAAATGAATACTTGAATATTCCTATTTGGCATTTGCTGCCAATTCTAAGGACAGTCAGGTAATTTTCTTGTAGGGCTACATCTATATTTTCGGATCATATCGATAAAATATGAAAACCCGCGAATGGATCGCTCTGACGTCATCCTGTTTACACTCTATAAACTTATGCCGCTTTTATTGACTCAGCTTTTGGCTTCATTCATCTTTTACAAAACTTCTAACCGAACAGCAACACAAAAATAAAATAGCTGATAACGTTTCATATCAGTGTGACAGATGTAAGCGCCATCTGATAAAGCAAACTACTTGAATAATATTTTCACATTGAGTCAAGTAATATATTTTTTTACAGACACTAATAGCTATGACTCACATGTTTGATAAAGATTAATGTCTTTGAACGAGTTTGGTGTTGAGGATGATCTGATCCTAGCGCAGCGATGAAAAAACTTGGCATACGTCCCTCGGAATTAGAGTCGAAGACCAGCGACATGCCATAGTGGCGCAAACGCATCTTTGAAGCATCTCGGGGCTTCGAAGCTGCTCGTGTTGCAAAGACGAAATAAAAGCGTCTGAATATAAAAAAAAGTGACTATTGCAGAGCAAAATCGAATCCGTCGTCCACGACGGTCGAACTGACGACGACGACGGTCGAACTGACGACGACGACGGTCGAACTGACGACGACGACGACGACGACGAATAAAGTTAATTGTAGTGCTCTATGCCGTAAAGGTAGAACGGCAAACCTTTTGGCGATTTGAAAAGGACCGTTGTTAGTTCAAATTACGAGTTTCACACAACATGCGATCATCAGGCAACTGTTCTAGCTTGTCTCATCAGAGTCAAGAAAACATTACGGCCTCACGGCTGTGAGCTGGTGAGCTGGACGTAGGTTTTAAAACGATGCATTAGTTTTGAGGAAAGCCAATCCATAGATTGATATCGACCATTCTATTTGAACTCCATTATTCAGAAAACTTTAATTCAAAAATACAAGCAACAGTTTGACGAAGGCAAATAGACTAAATTTCAGGAGGAGGAAGTTTGAGGCGCATTCTGACCTCCGTGTTTAATAATCGTTATTGATTTCTGTTTGTAGGGGTTCGAAGATATAATTAGCCAAGCTAAGAAAATCCAGTCCATTCAGCTGCATGTTGCCTTCGTTATATCTGCTGATGGTAGCACTGAGTGACAGGGCTTTCCTGCGATCCATTAAGTTATCAAGGACAGCTAGTTGTGTCTCGCGCGGCAAAATGAAACAAGCAGATAAAATAATGCTTACAAATAAAGAAAGATATAAATTGAAAATAGTCTAAATACATTAACATTTGAAAGGTTTAAGATGCATCTGAAAATTACGAAGATCTTATTAAGTGTTCACCGTCTCAATCATTTAGGATGACAATGCTCTAAGAGCTGTTGGTTTATAGTTTCATTAAGACGGAATACAAAACGTATTTGAAAGCAGACCTCAAGTATTAAACTCAATATGACCAAACAGGTGAACAAGAAAACCAGCCTCAGTTTTATTATGACAAAAGCTCATGCATTCAAGGTTAGAACGGCTATGAGGCAGATAAATACTTCATTATACATATTTTGCTACAAAAAATCGCTAAGTATTAATATATCTAAATGTTAATGAGCAAAACTTTTCGTAAAAACTTACGATTTGGAAAGTGAGTGAGACATTCTTCTAGCTTTCTAGAACGCCAACCAAGAACTATAGCCTATGTATATCTTTCTATTAGAAACTTGCAAACAGTGGCAGGGGCATGGGGGACGCATGGGGTACTTTGGGGGTAATTCACCCTCCCCCACTTTTATCAAAACATTGTCCACATATTTTTTATACGTAAGGTAGTTTTTATACGTCATAGGTTTTATTGTATTGATAAAATTTCACGCCTTAAGGAAATTCCCTGGTACAAAGCACTGAAACGAGGTTAAAGGGCGCGATCTAATTGTTCACGCCCATTACCCTCCCACTCTGCAGTAGCTAGTGCCGCCACTGCTTGAAAAATTATCAAAACTGAATGTTTCTTAACAGCTTTAAGATAAGAGTATGCAAAGCTGGTATGCAAGGCTGAAAGGATTCTACGATTAATTCACGAAAGATTACAGGACTATTTATATGTAAGCATGAAGTGAAATGCGAAGTATTTCTAAGTTGAATGATTGGAAACATTTCACTGCAACATTTGGTAAGATGTCATCACCTGTCAATCAAAAAGAAAGAGCCAAGTGTTGTTCATTGGCAAAAAACTTTGTAAAGCACAGTTATCATTGTTATTATCATTCACACTGCCAAGGGACGTTTGAATTCATAGCACAAAAGCAAATTCGTCAACGGTACAGCCAGCGTAATAATTGTAAAAAATTTTAGTATGAATTTATATATTTGCAAAAAGGGTCATAATTATACTCAACACCATCAATCACATCCGTCAATTCCAAAAACACTGAAAATTATCAAAAATATTTCATAACTTTGGATGAAAACCAATTGTTTATTTCTTGTTACTCTAATGTTGAAGAAGATTGTATTATACAGAAGGATCTTCGAATTACTAGTTTTATATTGCTTGATGAACTGTCAAGTCTTTGTAAATATTTTAAAAGTGGCGTAACGGGTATCCAAAGACAGGAAAATCCAAAGACAGACGTCCAAACGAAATATTCTTAAGTTTTTTATCCAAAAGAAGGGGAAAACGTCTAGTTTTAGTGAGAAAGCTTCTGAAGAAGGAATATGAAAAGATTCCTAAATTAACGCTTAATGAGCATTAACAAATCAACTATCAATATACCAGGTAGAAAATAACAAAGAAAATACTGGAAAGTATATATTTGCAGTCTTTATGTAGGTTTTGTCTATAGTAGCTCCGTCTTTGGGGCGAAAGGGTAGCAACAGGTACAAAGTTTCTAGTTCTTTCTTTTGTAACCACGCAGCACATACGAATGATGGTCAACGCTGCTTTGTCTTAAAGGGAGCTGACAATGTCCTCTGGTTGTGAGCTGACGACAGAAACTTGGTTGCCAAGTAGCCAGTCATATAGAAACTTAACTCGAGGCAGCGGTGCAATTTGTTGATTCTCTCTGTCATAATATATATTTCCATTCTCCTTGTCTCTCTTTCCAGTTATCTGGCATTGTGAATTATCTTATGAGGCACTTCGAAGTGTAGAAATATCTTCTAGCTTGTGTGGCATGTTGCTTTTCCATTGAGACCCCCATCAAATCAGCAGAGTGCATTGAACCTGTGTATCTTTGTTTCAACTTCAGCTCAAAAAACAGCTTGCAAGCATTTTGCGCAAAAGATTCGTTTTCGAATAAAGGGCCCGTAGAACCGGAAATTTCGCAGAAATAGGCGATTGGTGCTCCTTTTAAGGGGATTACAATGAACTCTCAGAGTGGAAATATACTCTAACAGGCAGTAGCGAGCTCTAAATAGTACCCGATATCAAATACAAGGACCTTTAAAAGTAGCGGATGAAAAGCTTTTAAGGGCTTGATATATAGACACTCAAGGGGTTGAAAATTTTTTCTACGACAAAGTACTCAAGCGACACACAGATACTATGAGGAACCGTTGTCACTCTGATCTAATTTAGAGAAATCAATAATCATCAACTGCAAGGGAAGGTGGTGTGCCGGAATTAACGATGACCAGGTTACAGCACAAGAATTTTTCCAGACTGACAGCATCATTTGGAGATTGGAATCAAAAGAAATCACCTCGCTAATTTCATTGCAGCTCTCTTTACTTCTTCAGCAATTTGTAACCAAGGATGATAGAGCCTCCGACTATTCCTAGAATTCCACCTACAACTGCTCCTCCGGCTATAGCCACGCCCATTAATCCATCTGTAAGACGAAAGACACACTATCATAGTCATAAAAAAGCACCACCGACGGGGGTAAGTATTACCCAATGCACACACTTCACTGTCCAGACAACAATACATTAGGTGTTCCTCTCTTCTAAACATAAGAAATGTTCTCGTGGGTTCCTCTACTAGTTTGGATGTATCAAAAACTGAAAATTGCAAACCCGAAAATTACAAATAATTGTAACTTCATATTGGCTGAGTCTTTTGTACAGTTGTAATGGCCTGAACAAATGCCAGGTAGCATGCACATAATGTCCAACATCTACCCCCTCCTTTCATTCAAATTCAGCGTGCTGCGTATCCAAAGAAAGAAATAAACAATGAACAATGAAATAAAAAGGGGGAGGGTTGCAAAAGCTCAATACGATCTATAAAAACCCACAAATTGGTTAACAAGGCCAATTTCATTCTTTTTGCCCAACTTTAGAAAAATACTAAGGCCAATTTTGCAACATTAAAATTATTTAGAAAGTTCATGTAAATAGAGTTCTGTACCGGCAAAATGTTTTCTCAATGGTCCCAAAACTTGACAGCAGTATTTTATTTCCGCAAAAAACAGATCGATAGTTATCTTAAATTTATTGAACAATATACATTAAATTTATTGTAACTAACCTTTGTTCATCTTTTTGTTGATAAGTTCCTTCATTTCAATTGCTTGGTGGTTGTTAGGTTCAATATTCAAAAGCCGCTGGATACATTTCATCGCAGGCTCCCATTGCTAAAAGCCGATATTTCATTAGTTAAAAAAAACCAGAACAAGGCTCGAACCGAAAAAGAGGTTAAGGCTAATGGCAGTTTGTTCAGTTGGTAATGCCCTGTTGGTACTGTATGTTGGGGTTACTAATTATACCAAAGGGCCTATACATATACCTATATCACTATGTTTAAAATTGTTTAAATGGCCTGGCAAGACGATAGAATCTGTAAAAGGGGCAGAGACACAATAGGCTAGCCTTCTTGCATTGATTTAGAAACAATTACAGAAACATTGATTTTAAAAACCAGTAAGAATGCCAGACAAGAGTATAGGTATATTTTGCAACAATAATACCTATACACTGGTATTATTGTTGTGGTCGTTCCACGTATCACCTAAAGACACTTTCTTGCTTGCAGCTGAGATTGTATTGGTTACCTTTTAGGACGAGCTGATTCCAACTGCGATGAAATAGTACAGTTGACATTTCATACGTATAACACACTTAACCTCATAAAACAGATACCCTCTACAGGGGGGCTGACTTCTCTGGCGTCTACTAAGAAGGTTTCCCTGAGTTTTCAACAAGGCATCCCCCCAACCCCCCCCCCCCCCCCCCCCCAAGAGACAGCCAAAGAACTCATACAATGCTAATTACGGGTTGAGACAGTGCTAAAGGACAACTTCAAATGTCGTCTTGGCATCTAAAGAGCACACTCTGGTCATCCTCTTTCGTCTTTTATATGTTGAATTTCAATGTACAACAAAGTTGAGCAAGTGATACACATCGTTTTGTTGTGGCAGACCAAGACCGTTATTTTGGTAGACACTTCCTATGTTTGATCAAAGATATGAAGGTTGAACATGAACTAGAACTAGACATAAAAAAATGCTTCACATACCCCTAGTTTGTAGTACCCCAATGCCAGGAAAAACAGAAAATCTCGTTGATCGCAACCTCGTGTGCAGAGATCTGAAACCAGATAGAAAAGGTTTAGAGAAAAACGAATAGATCTAATAAATAGTAAACAAGTATAAAATGAAATGACGTTAAAACTAGTAACCAAGCTAGTAAAAGTATGAATTGCATTATTGAAGTATCCATTTTTCCCTGCCCCAAAGCCTGAGTTAACCAAACTCAATTTTTATTAAAATGTTTTCAAATCTTTTGGGATTCCTTAATGATGCCACCAGGCGATTTGAATTTACAACAAGAGGATTTGGCACTTCAGGCTTTCCACAGCAAGCATTCCTAACTGTCTCCATTTTAGCCATAAGTCTTGTCAGTAATGAAACATTTGAAACGGTCTACTCAATCAACTCTTTAGCTAGGCAGCTGTCATAGGTTACCTTGCAAAATTATCTGTAAACATTGACGAGAAATGTCTGTACTACATTCAATAAGCACATTGCTTCATTACGACTAAATTCAAACGCAACAGAAACATAGGAGATTCATAGGATGGGGTTACTCGCTAAACAGAGAAGCAATCTAGTAAAAAGTTCTCAATGTGTCATATTCAAACAAATCTTATGCATGGTAAAAACCTTTAAAGAACAGCGTTGATCCAAAATCATCTTAAAATAGGCAAAAAAGGAAGTTTGTAAATAATCAAAGCTTTTTCGATCATAAGCCAATTTAAAAACACTCTCCTGCATGCTGTTTATACATCATAAACGAATTTATAATCCCTTTTATGAACAAGAGAGGATCCCTAATCATGGAAACATGTTGCGTAAGCACCTAATGTTTGATTAAGAATTGGACTTAAACTCAAGACAAAGCTGTTTCACCTAAACGGTGAAAATATGCAGAACATAGCAGAATTCAGGCTGTGAATGCTAAACTAATACTGGTAGAGACGGCCAGTAAGTCTGATGGGAAAGGTGCCACAAACAAACCTGCAAATAGCGAAGCTAACGAGAATTACACATCAAGCGTGACATGCCTCTGTTATCATTACAAAATAAATAGCTTGCAAACTTTGTTGTATTGGTGGCAGGTGTGGGTCATCGCAATAAATAATTGACCATATTTTTGGGGATTAGAGCTTTGGAAGTCAACTTTTGCTCATCATCCAATTTTTATTTCTTGATGAATGTAAAATAAAATTAGCTTTCGTCATAAAATTTGGGAATCTTAGCTTAAACAAGAGTTTTTCTACATAAGAAATTCATAATCTTTTTGTAGGTAAGGAGATTTTATCATGTACATAAAATCTACATATATCATCCAAACTTTCTTGTTCATTCCAGAAATTTTGATGCAGTGAAAAACTACTTAACCGCTTTATACATCAATTGTAGATGAACAATTGATATCATTACAGTGGGATATGGTAGAAGATTAACAGGTGCCGAGAAAACTTGATCCTAACTTGTTAACTGATTGTGCACCTTCAGGATAATTCATGGTGTCATTTCAGGCTATGTGATCAAACGTCAAAAATTCTAACATTTGTGTATTTTATTCTAGTCGTTTTTCAGCCTCATCAGGATCCTGGTTTTTTGTTTGTTTGCTTGCTTGCTTGTTTGTTTCCATCTTATTTCAATTCAAAATTCTCTCTAGCTTCAAACGAAACTAATCTAAATAAGATAACATCATCCTGTTTTGGAGCTCTTGCCATAGTAAAAAAATTCAAAAATATCATGACACTAAAACTGAAAAAGCAAGTTGCTGAGTTGGTAATATTATCCAAAATGGATTATGCCGATGTCGTATTTCATCCTAATTTATTTAAACTAAAAAAACGACAACAAAAGGTAGAGAATGCAGCTGCAAGTTTTGTTCTAGGCCGTTACGTTAAAGGTAATGTGTCCATATAAAAGGACTGCGTATACCCAACTTGTCAAGCCACCCATCAAAATAACGGTTTGCGATTGGTTAGTATTCTTGCGATGCAAAACTGCTCACATGAAAAGCTAACCTCGCAGCAGTATTGATAAACAAAACGACCGTAATGGATGGGGCACTGACATGAAAAATCACATGTTTCTAAAAAACCCCGCAGAGTCGCTTGCTTTAGCTGGACACATTACCTTTAAAGAAAATGATATCATATCATTAGGCTGGTTACCTATGAAAGAGAGACGAGAATGGAACCTTGCGAAGCTGGCTTTTAATTATATGACAGATCATAACAAACCAGCATATATTGACATATCATTAAAAGAAAACAGTAAACATCTGAGATCAAACTCTGCACCACAAATTGCAACTACAACAAATTCTAAAATTTTGAGGAACAGTGCAGCTGAAATTTTTAACAAGATGCCAAATGCGATAAGAAATTCAAAAACCAAAGCCGAATTCTCATCAAAAGCTAAATAATATTTTCTTACTGAATCAAAAAAGAGGCTTTTAGTTTGATTCATAAAGAGAAGAGCCTAACTTTCAATTCCAATTTACATTTTATCGAATTTAAACTATTTTAATCTTTACTTTTTATATAGCAACTTTTACATAGTGTAGTATTTAACGACCTGATGAAGAGCCACCCTGTGGAGATACTGGTCATGATTCATTATTATTTTATTATAATTATTTTTATTATTATTATTATTATTTTTATTATTATTATTATTATTGTCAGCAATAATTATACGCACATCCTATTATATATTCTGTATGCGCAATAAGACTTGGACAAACCCTGAACTGCTCTCCTTCTAAAGATTCTTTGCACTCATATGATTTATTTAAATGTTATAACTTTTGTAAAATTAGTAAACTTGTCACCAGGCTAGCCGATAGTAACTACCTGTAAAGTGAGGTTACTGTTGTAAGTAGAAGAATATAAAATAAAAAATGTTTTCATTATATTATTAAATAGAATATTTAAGATATTAGCAATGTACAATTGTTGTGATTCAAAAGAAAATAATCTAAATTTGAATGTTTGAACTAATAACAATGTATATATGATATGCATATTCAGGTTGCTAGCTACAAATTCTACAGCCGCAAGTTGGCCCATCCCATTGTTTTATCAGTCTTTTAGATGTTTGAATGTTTACTGCTAGTTCAATTTGTTCCAAATTGTTCCAAAGCGTTCCAAATCTGTGGCCGTAAGAATAGGCCTTTTTGACCCGAAAACAAATTGGTTTGGTCTATGATGAGTTAATTCAATAATTGATTTGGTCCTTGCTGAATTTGTTGCCCAGGGAGGGGGCCACTCTTATATATGCTCATTTTGGGGTATCAACCATCAGCCCAACAAAAAAAATTTTTAGCATAGAAATTGACCCAAAAAAATAATTTTCTTGTCGTGCACACCCAAAAAAATAACAAAGAAACCCTGCTCCATATATGATCTTGAGATCATATGCACAGCAAAGGAGCAAGAATATTATATTTAACAAAGATACTTTTCAGCTGCACATAACAGCCCGATTGCCTTGATTCAATACACCTCTACATTATCTTTCAGAAGAGATCTCACTATGTACACCTATGCATTATGAAATTGAAGAATTATCAATGGCAAAACAATTTAGGTCAAAACCCACAGCACTTCCAAGGATACTTTGGACAGGGAATTTTGGAGTATTTAACTATACCAGCTGTGCAGATGTGACCTTACCTTGTAATCAAGCTCCCTATCGTTTATCCCATTTTTGGTATCCGTGGCACTGTGATAAAAATGGGAATGCTCAAGGAAGGAAAGGATAACAATGTATTGATTCCTTGTTTGTATGCTGCCTAAAGCTTGAAATTGTTCACTATTGGCCACAGAAGAACCCTCAAAAAAGAACCAGTTTCTTTCATATTTTCCTTGTGCATAGAAGTTTTACCCCAGGAGCACGAGTCTGGTACCCAGGGTAGGAAAGTTTTAATAGCATTCTAACGTTTTATGAGACTGACATAACTATAATAATGGATGAGTCAAGAAATCCTCCATGTGTTCTATCAGTACAAAATCAAAACCATGTAATTCGATCACGTTTATTGTAAGCTTTATATGTAGCCTAAAGAAGAATTTGTGGAGTATACATTCCATTTTGCTGGTTGGTTTAGGGCCTGTTTACACGGTACCGGATCCAAAAATATTTGCTTTTACATGGGATCGGATCCATATGGATCCAAGATGCGTGGATTTGTATGCGCAATCTAATTACGGAATTTTTTCGTCAATTATTCAACCTCAGAAGGGAGAAAATAATTGATCCTTTACATCGATTGAAAGCTTTTGTCCCTGCCCTGATATTTTTGTTTTTTTCTTTTTCAATTAGATGCTCCTTGGACTTTGTTTACCTGATATTCCAGTACATCTTTCAGCATTAAAGCCGACTCCTCATCAGTCCAACCAAAAACTTTGCTCCATGATCCTTTAAAAACTTCTTTATTAATTTTGAAAAAGCAGACATTTTGAGAAATAGACTTTATAGCTGAGATTAAACAAAATCAAAAGATTCGAAACAATAAATCTCATGTCTTTTTTGCGTCAAGTCTAGAAATGCAATCTATGAAGTTCCTCAATATGGATATCTTCCCCCTTATTTTGGATCCGTACCTGTTTGGATCCGATCCCAACCGTTTACACGAGACCTTTTTGGGATTAGATCCAAACGAGACCACCTTAAAAACCAATCCCAAACGGGCATGGATAGCTGATCCAAATGAGATCGGATCTGCCAGGTCCAATGTAAACGCAAAGTATATCCTTGAAAAGGGTACAAATTTGCAAACCATTCCTTCAGCTACAAATATGGACACAGAAATCAAATACACGAAACTCTTTTTTGACTCAACCAGTTGTTAGCTTTGTGGGAGTTCCTTATATCATTCTGAATACTCTTATGATTATGAAGTCTTCATCAGTAATCAATAAAAAATAAATGATGTTTAGTGGTAAACCATATTTTTCTCTATTTTTTAAAATTTTTCTCACATTCAAGACCCAAAAAATAATTTAGCATTTCATGAACCCAATACCAGTCTAGTAGTGGTACCAGTCTAGTACCATTTTTTGGAAGTTTGAAATATTTTTGTATTGTATGGTTTTCCTTTTCTCTATGATAAATTAATTAATAGAAAAATGGAAGAGCAGTGGAAAACACCATATCTTAATTCATTGAAAGATTGGCATTGAATAAGCCCTTTATGTACACCATGGTACTAGAATTCATTCATCAAGTACTGCCAAAGTCTCTCTCATTGTCATTTATGACGCAACCTGACGTAAAACCATTTTTCTTTCGACAATCCAACAAAGAAAAAATTGTTCACAGTACTAGATTCCTCCTTCTAGTGATAAAATGCTGCAAGGCCATTTAACCCCTGCAGCTGGCAATATCACATGACATCAAACAAATCAAGCTATTGTATGAAAACCTCTTACCTGCCATTAACAGACAATGGCCAAATAAGCTGTAAAACAAAAAATTTCCAGGGACTACGCCCCTGCACCACCCTTTCTCTAGCTGGTTCACTCTGCTAAAACAGCACCACCTGCACCATCCTTTTTTGCTTAACTAGTGTCAGCCACCACTGGTTAAAAGACTTTGCTGTTGTACCATTTTAAAGCATGTTACTACATTTGAACAAATCCATTCTTAAAATGGTCCCATCACCCGCCCTCTCTCAGCAGCCTGGAAACTAGTAACAAATCTGTCTGTAACCAAAGGATATGTGATTATTTGAGAAATGGAGCTTATCAAGTTACTTTCATGTATTTTTGCACTGCTTCTGAAAGAGTCCCTATAATTTATGCTCACAACCCAAATATCCCATTGCAGTTATAAGAACCTTCAGCTTATTATGTCATAGAAGAATTTAATGTTGGAAAGACTTCACTCACCTTGAAACAATTCTATTCCCTTTCTTATATCATTTCTATACTTGCTTTTAATTAGACACATTCCATACTGAAATTGTATATCATTTGTCACCATTCCAGCAGTCTCTTCTTTCTCATATCTTTCTTTGAATATCTGTTTTATTTATAAATAAAGATAGCAGCATGTCAGATTAAAAAACTAGTTCACTGTGAATAGCTTTACAGTTTATTCATTATAAGAAACTGGTTCATAAGAAACCTAGTACTTTGATGACTGAACATTATTAGTATGAATGACGACTGAAGAAACTATTACTAGGCATAAGAAAAATTAAGAAACTGTGAAACTTCAATTTAAAAAAGGAATCATTGATGAGTACAAAGTTCTATTAAGAGAATGGCTCTGAAAGTTTGTAAACTAATAAAAGGTTTTACAGCAAAAATTGTTTTGTGTTGAACTTTTCATCCTCCTAAATCACTAGTCAAGGTCAAAACCCTTAAGACATTTTTAACTAATATTATTGTCAACATAAAATCAATATTGTGAGAGTTATCACCATGAAACCTTGCATGTAGACCAAAACTCTGCTACATAATTTTAAAACGAGGTACAAATTTTAAAGTGAGGTAGAAATAAGTTCGAAATATTTTTAAAATGAGGCCTTCTATTGAACTGGTGAATTCCTTGTGTTTTCCAATAAATCACGTACATGCTACAAAGTATTTTTGTGGCAAGTTGCTGGGCAAAGTGTAAAAGGCAGGTCATATGCTGGTACGTAGCTGTTTGGGAATATTTTATCGAAGGCCTAAATACAATTCCTTACCTAAATTGAAGGCCTAAAAGTAAAATTACAATGTAATGAAACTTCACTCGGGACTTGAATTCAGCTGGTTTAATACCTGTTTCGTGATAGAACTGGTGGGCAGGTAACAAAAAGTAAACCACAAATTAACTACCTGTAAATCTTCCTCATCAACGAAATCTTCTGCAAGTGCAGCCATTTTTGAGTAACACTTCGAATCAATTCAATTCAATCAAAACATAGATATAGATTTGTTTCATCATCGGTTAATGACGTAATGCCGAGCTAGTTGTTGTGCAAATGACGTAATTGGGACGTTGGGAAACTCCTGATACATAAAACAAATGCAATATTATGAAATTTCTTAAAATAATTAGAAAATTTGCATTGCATAGAAGGAAATTAGAATACGGAACGCTACATTCCGCTTTACCTTTTCTAATCGTTTTTATGGATATAATAAAGAGCAGGCTCGTAGATACGGGGGCAATGCCCCCAATAATTTGCGAAAATTGTGTTTGAAGATCTTATAAGTGCAGCTTGATATGACAGTATTTCGTAAGGCAGGTATAGAAAAAGCTATATTTCTATCCTTGCCTCCCCTCCCCCTCCCTCCTCCCCCAATTCGGTTTAGCTGTCTACTGGCCTGTAAAGAGACTTGAAGCAGTGCTTTAATTTACAAAGGTTTTATTTCTTCCTTCTACTTTTTATTTCGTTCCACATTTTTTCACTTTGTAATTTTCAGATCAGTTCATGTTTTATCTAAGAATTTAACTAGATTTAATAAAAAGCCAAATTAATATGCTTCACACGAGCATATGGAAAAATTGAGCCAACTTAAATCAATATGAAAAAAATGATATCAATGCCAATTTATATTGTAATCTGTTAGGTTGATTATTATTAGGTAAAACTTTTGTACAATACCATTATTTAATAATGATAATATTAAGGACAATACCATTATTTATAGTATTAGAGTGTGATGAATATATTATGCAAATTTCTAACTTTCAAACCGTAGGTCTTAAAATTTTCATTCTATTTTCGCAAATTTATTGATTCTGTGTGGAACTTTGGAAAGGTTTACATTAACGCAGACAATTTCGTGAATTGTGAATCCAATGAGGTGGATTTGCTCAACGATACAATTCAATTGGGTCATGAGAACAGTAGGCAGGCAGGCTACACAAGCTGAAATAGGACTTGATCCTAAATACTCGTATATGTTAATTATGTTAATTATGCTATGGCCTTCTTCTTGCTTGCATATAGTGTAATCATTCTTTAGAATCATTAGTCAGTTCATAATCTCAATACGAATTGCACCCTATCACTTGCTGTTGATCTCTCACTACTCAAAAGCTTGTTATATAGCCAGGGGGCGGGGGGGGGGGGTCAAATCCAGTTTGTAGAAACAGTGAAACTCAATTCAGCAGTTAACTTAAATTCCCAAATAAACTACAACGTAATTTACTGTTAAGACTAAAATATACTGTTGATACTATCGATACTATCGTAAGCCTAATTGACAATATCCATTATTGATAAAAATAAAACTTTTCTGTACATACATGTTAAAATCTAGATTAAATATTACATAATAGTATTTAAGATAAATGAGTCCATCGATGCAATTTGCAATACTTGGAAATAAAGGCAAAAATTAAGGGGTCTCACGTGTGACACAGTTTCAGACTGTGGAAATTCTAATGATATTAAGCTCAAACGTTTAACGTTGTATCCCTGTGTTGTATGGACATCCTGGCTTGAGTTTCAAAGATAAACCATTTCAAAACTTGGACGTGCGACGTAGTATTTTTAGTATATTGGCAATTATGGCTTCGTGAGAAATAAATTTGAAACCATACCGAAAAGAAATTAATTGCAAACGATCGAACTTTCAATGTAGTGGAGACGTTTGGAACTGTGGTGAAGATTGATGTAAATTGTAATGTATGGAAACTTCTTTTATTCGCTTCAGAGTCTAAAGTCACTCACGGTAGATTTAAATCTACAAATTATTCATTGTCTGCATCCCCTAAAAGCTTTTGCAATTATTGAAGACCATATCAACCTTGCCATTTCGTATACCCATAATGATAAAAAGGAGTCCAAGCATATAAAGATGGCTCAAAGCACTTGTGGTCGAACTCTAGCCTAGCCAGTGGCAGTTTTAATGGGGGTCCAGGGGAGCCATGGCCCCAGGACCCGCGCTTATGGTAGCCAAAAGGGGCCCTACAACTAACAAAAAAGAAAGAAATTGTAAAGAACAAGGGTCCCGCAGATGTTTTTGGTCCCGGGCCCCGCAGTCCCTAAAACCGCAGCTTAGCCTATCAGACATCAGAATTTACTTTTGTTGTAGATCAGTTACTCATGTATAGTTAGGGATGTGTTAATGCCTATCGTCTTTGTAAAGTATTTCTTATCGAAGGGGTATATATGTTTAAATTCCATTTAATAATACATGCCATACAATAAAACAGAATTTCAAGGTTAAAAACTTTAACTGTAAGTCCAAAACTAACAAGTCCAAAACTATAACACACTAGGTCGTTTACAATGCAGTGCAGATACTATGGTATCTCCTAGCAAAAATAAGACAAATAGTATTCTAACTTATTAAAAATTATACCTAAGAATGTTTCTTCCCTTTGGTAAAAATAGCATTAATGAATTTAGTACATTCGATGTCAGGAAAAGTTTTAATGTTCTCTCCTATTTATTAACAAACTGTAAATAACTTTTACTTTTAACTGCCTGTTGAACCAAGCTCCACCGATGAGATATCTTCCTGTTCTCCGAAGATCCGAAAATCTAGAAAAACAACATATTGTGAAGTCAGTACATTTTACAGCCCACGCCATTTTGGGGGATTCCTTTGGCCCTGCTATTATGCAGCCTCCGTATGTTTGGGGGATCCCTGTTATTATATTTGGGGGATCCCTGCTATTATGCTGCCTTCGTATATACAACATATTGTGAAGTCAGTATATTTCACAGCCCACGCCATTTTGGGGGATTCCTTTGGCCCTGCTATTATGCAGCCTTCGTGTGTTTGGGGGATCCCTGCTATTATGCTGCCTTCGTATACGTGTATATACTCGTCCCAGTCTTTTTACGTGTTATATTTACACCCCATATTGTAAGTTTAATCTTTTGAAGTAGTGATGTTTTGCTAAAAACACGCTATAAGTTTATGATTGGCTAACAAATTGCCCTTAAATTATAGTTGTATATAGACACGTTTTGTATATATTTAAAGATAAAATCAACGATATCGAGTCTCATTTACGTCTACGCTCTACCGAGGCTATGTTCAAAATACAAGGTCCCTTGCTGTAATTGCTTTCTTTTAGGGCGTTTAAGGTTCAGCTAGAAATTATCTTTACAACAAAATATCAAAGAGATGAAACAATATATAACAAAAAGGTAATGGAATGTGTAAATCTTTCAATACAAAGCCAAGACATGAGATGAATAACATATATCGTAGATAAAAGCACTGATAAAATAGCAAGAAATAAGATAAATATCAACAGACTAAAAATAATGAGCAAAGTTTACTTCTTTGATGCTGATTAATTTTTAAAATTATATTCTTGTTGATGATGCGACTCTATCGTTACATGAAGTATTCGGCGTTTAAGACTGAAGAAGTTGTGTTCTCTACCAAATAGTAGAAATACTGAAAATATTATCTAGTCTGTGTCTCTACTCAATATCGCTTTGCTACAGGCATGGTAAATATCTACTGGTCAGTGTAAAGGCTGATTTCCAGTAGGCGAATTCTTTCGCGCGAATCGAATTTTTGCCAATGTGAGCATGCGTGGTGCCATGTTCTCAGATTTCGCAGCGAAAAAATTCGATTCACAGAAAGGAGATCACGGTCCTACTCTATCGCTACGAAAATTTATTCGATTCGCGCGAAAGAATTCGCCTAGTGGAAATCGGCCTTAAGTATATCTTTGTTGCTCAAAGGCAATCTGTCACGACGTTGATTGATTATAAGAACAATTATAGGGATTGATTATAGGGATTTTTATTGCTTCCGGTCCCCCTCTAATTTATAGCATTGTAAAAAATATGGCTAAGCGCTGGATTTGTGTTTAGGCTGTTGTTCCAGCAATTGTTCTCGTTAACCAATCCACAACGAGACAGATTGCCTTTAAAGACACTATACCCTGTAAGACAAATATTCAGAGTTAAAAATACCCCATCGAAATAGGTCAGGCCACCATGCCTTTAACATGTTCATGTTCAATGTTGATGCTTTTGATGAAAAAGGGAATAGGTGACCAAAAACAAGTTGACTACATAAATGTTTGTACACAATTTCAGACTCAAATGTTTTATTAATTTATGCTGCATATTGAAAAATAAACAAGATCAATCTGATGACGTCAAAGTGTACAATCTCACAATAACATAACAAGAATCTATCAACACAGGGGATGGAGCAAGAATTATTTCTTTGTGCCTCCTGCACAGCAACCAGTTTGAAAACAAAGCAACGTTGTGTACAACAGCAAAACATGTTTGCATAAACATCATGACACGATGAATAACAAAAAATAAAAAATAACAAAAAACGCAACCTAAACACCAGAAGGCAGCTCAAAGTTTTTTATGTCTGGATCTGCTGGATAACACATTTTAGTCATTTCTTATAGCTTTTGTCTTTTTATAAAAAAAAACTAATATCCGTTTGGGAAAATCATAATAATTTTTAGGCATTCTGATGAGTACGGTCAACCTTCAAAACTATGAAGTATAATTTTTACATGCTAGCATAGGAAAAACCCTGAAAGGCGAAAAAACCAAATAAGTAACAGATATTTTGAATGTCAATACGGCCATACGCAGGTAAACAATTTCAGTTTACAATATCATTCAATTCAACGCGCTTTTTCTCCCACAGCCGTGAATAAACCTCGTTTCCACTGCATGATTAGCACGATTACAGCAATTAGAAGTTGAACTTGTCGCCATAATCGTGATAATCGCGCAGTGGAAACCATAAACAAAAGCCAGAAGAATAGTTTATTGAACAAACAAAAGAAGTTGAAAAAAGAATGGAACCATGATGAAGATAAGGGAGACCCCCCCTCCCCCCTTTAAAGTAACACTGACAGTTAAGTGTCTTAAGTGCACAGCTTACAAGAAACATCACACGTTTTTCTTTGTCTTTGTAATCGATAATGGTTATTGTAGCAATGAAAAATGCTCAACCACTAAAATCAACAGTTCCGTATTTGAAATTTATAATATTCTCTTATCAGGGTTACTCATCCTTAGGTATCTGACTGACCAAATGATAACGGATCTTCGGCTCGGAGGTTAAAGTCGTGACCATTGTGATGGGCAGTTGAAGGTCCATAATTTGTCAGGGTACTTGATTTGTCGGGTGCATGATTTGTCGGCAACAGGATTTGTCACCTACATGATTGGTGTGGCTCATGAATTGTCGGCTATATGATTTGTCGGGTACAAGATTGGTCGGGTAGGTGATTTGTCGAGCGTAACAGTCAGCAATTTCTCATCAAGAGATCACCAGAAATCTTCAGTTTATGTAGCTGAGGGCCACCTTTGCGCTGACATAGTAGAATCGTTAAGATCAATAGTAGAACCTAATATCCACATTCACAGCATAACGAGAGACAACACAGCATTCTACAATGTGGATCTCTTGCAATTTGAAAAAACACCTCATGAAATCCTTTAGCTTAAGTAATTCTCAAAACTAACACGAAATAATTTTCAATCTGCAGGCACGTATTCGGCATAGTGAATTTGGGGGCAATTTTCTGAAGATTTTTGGCATCAGGATCAGGTAGATAATTCTTTGGCGCAAAGATTTGTCGCAGAGCAGTCGTCTAACTGACATAGGTGCTGAAGGAAAGATATGGCGCCGCATTTTGGATATCTTAGTTATAATGTCATCGAGTGACAAAATGCTGTTTAAGGAAACTGATCCTTTTCACGTAGTCATTCTAAAAATTGTTCAATGGGAAATGTAGAATCAAAAATACTTTATCTAATTTGGCGCAAGAAAAATTTGGCCACGGTTCATCATACGCGGCGCACAGTCACCGCCGGATTCACCCTAGCGTATACTTGGTTTTTACGCGGTCACAGACGAATTTTCCTAATAACAAAGTAAGCAATGAAAATAGATTTATAAACTACCAACCTTGTCTTCACGATGACCAAAATCCCCAAACGTATCGCTAACTTTTTGCATAGTATCTGTGTGCAGTTTCCTTCTTCGCATAATGACCTTTGGAAAAAAAGAATATTTCTTAGAAAAGGATAAAAATCCTTGGAAAAGACTGAAATTTTTATGGGAAAGATTCTATTGACATAAATCAGTACACGAGCCAGATTGGCCATTAGAAAACAAGCCAATCAGAAAACGAGCAATGACCGCGGATGGAACTCAGACGGAGCGGAAAGGCAAGAATCCGAGCCCTTTCGAGCCCCAAGCCTCGTCCCAGGCTATCACTTGACACAAGCTTTGAGAACGTTATCCATAGTCCCGACATTATCCACATGGAGTGATAAGCGCTAATTTCAGTAAAAATAACAAACTATTTAAAGGTAATGTAAAGATAAATTCATCAGAAAATTTCCTTATGGTTTCCTAAGAACAAACAATTTTATCGAAAAGAAATAGCAGTATTGACAGGTTGGCAAAATAATTGAAGGTGTCTGACATTACCCATGACTACCCTAAGCTTTGAGGACACAGTCTGATACCTAAACTCAGATACTAAAGTCTGATACTAAACTTCTGGTCACTTCAGCTTCGCCTGACAAATCGCTTTAGTCAAACAGGACATTGAACTGACTCCTCCTATTACGAACAACTTCAAAGATAATTCAATCGTCATTGCAATGTATTTTTTGCAATATTACCAACCTCTCAATTAAAAAGATTGACAACTTCTAGGCAAATTCTGACGATCTTACGACTATTAGCCTTATCAAAATAGAAGGTATTGGATTTTTGATGTCATCTCATCATTATCTCAAAACTAATTTTACATTGAATAGATTGACTCAAAACCTCCGGAAAAAAGCTTAATCTGCTTATTCGAAATCAGATAGTATTTCTGAGTGCCTAGATCACAACATGTCGCTAGATTGGTCATGTTTTGATCGACTGTTCATTTGCCGAATCAAATTTACAGATTGACGACACGTGATACCTGACAAATATAAAAATCATCCAGTGCTCATAGATTATAATTTCCGACTTCACTTTTTATAACAATTGAAGGCTATAGCTTTAAAACTTTCAAAATTATACTTCCATCAATGAAACAGTACAATAACAAACCGCAATCTACAATATAAAGCCTCTTACGTCGAAATCCTGAAATTCAGCCTTGGGTGATTCATTGTGCACTGGTGACATCGCTTTCTTACTGAATATCTATGAAAGAAAAGAAAATATGACATCATTTTGGAGTTGGGTTGAATCAAGCATTAGTAAGATAGTGAAATTGTTCCTGTTCATTATATTTTTCTTCGGTCTTACATTTCTCAACTCACACGGTTTAAGGTTTACAATATCCACTAGGGTATCAAAAGTACTGCACCACCTCGAAGGAGGAGAAATGGCGCATGAATGATCGAAAGCTATTGTTACATTTAAAAATTTCTAACCTATCTATGGCGTCAGCAAAATTTTCAAACTTTTCCCAACGAAATCTACTATGAAATACGCCTATTTCACCTAATTCGTGCATTCAAATGTTTTGTATTGTCAAAAAATTGACAAAAAGTGTCGCCATTTTGAGCAAGGTGCTGCAACACTTTTGATACCCTAGCGTATACTATATTATATTTGAAGCAATAATTAATTGAATTTCAAACCGCCTTTAATTGCTAAGCGACTTAAAAAGGGAGATATTCTCGTGATGTATTTCAATAGTAACAAGCATAATTAAAAAACGCTTCAAAAAGTCAGTAATAAACTAAAACGTATTTGAAAACTTAGGATAAGCTGTGTTTTAATGGAACAGGAGATGCCTTTTCCTTCCACTCTGTTAATGGTTACAAGCAAAAACACGTGATCAAAATATAACCATATTTTCACTAAAATTTGGATCAAAACAAGGGAACCGATGGGAAAATTGGTCTCATTTGTAGGGTTTGAACTAATACGGCGTGATCACTTATTTTTCATGTGATGATGGCATCCGTTGGTCACAACTTGCTATGTATGGAAACACTGTTCTGTTAATCAGTACGAGGTGAGTTCATGTGACCAGTTCCAGGACAACCAATAGCATCACAGCACGAAAATCACGACCCAGCGGATTTGGGAACGTTTGGGTATGCCCGATCCTCTTATCATGACTCAATGCCTTTAAGATTTCCAATATTTCTGAAGACTGTCTTGAGAGAAACTAGTACACTAACCACACACAATAAACTCACCTAAAACTTGAAAATGGCTTTGAGAAAAGCAAACATCTAGTAAACTAAAGCTTTTCGTCTGACGATCTTCAGAGTTTAAAACGTCAGAACATAGATCGAAACATGTTTTGACGATCTATGTTCTGACGTTTTAAACTCTGAAGATCGTCAGACGAAAAGCTTTAGTTTACTAGATGTTTGCTTTTCTCAAAGCCATTTTCAAGCTTGTACCACCAAAAGATTGTTCACCTAAAACTCGAGCTACTCTTCCATTTCTATCGTTCTATATAAACCTTCTATTAATCCTACCTATAAACCTATAATAGTCCTTATAATATAGTCCGATTAATCTTAATAATCCTACTCACCTTTAATTTGCCCACTGCTCGATCCTCTGCTTTTGCATTTTCTTCTTCCTGTACCCCTGTGCCTGTAACTACTGTCTCCATTTGGTGCCGTTCTCCTCCTTCAAGGTTACAAGACAATTTCAAGTCGAGAGAGTCCCATGAATCACTCCTACTCCGTTTATGATCTTCAGAACACCTGTCAGCTGTGTCGCTACTTACGACTGACCCAACATTTCCCGGTGCAACTTTAACTGTCGCTTCATAGTTGTTGTATACAGCTCTTTTCCCTGACTGCCCATTCAGATTATTTACATTGCGATCAAACGTTTTCGTTAAAGTTACATCTTTTTTAGAGGTATATCTAGATTTTAGAGGTGCATCACCGCTCCCTGTATTTGATACCTTTCCATAGCCATTGTCCGTTGATATTTCTTCCTTCTTTTGCAACATATTTCCAATAAGATCAGAAATATAACCGGCGTTGTTACTAGCCTCTCTGGGAGTACCATCCACAACATGTTCGCCACTGTGCATTGCCGATTCGCCATAAGAGTTTTTTGCCTCAATAATAGGTTCGTCAGTTAAAGTCTGTTGCCCCCTCTCATGCTTCGTGATAAATCTGCCTTTCTCTTTATTTTTGAAAGAGTCCGCTCTTTTAATAATCGTCGCATTCTTCACAGTATCTCCATCAGCAACGTCTCCAACTGACTCAACAAAGCTTTTGACTCTTTGTACTTTAGACCTTCCCTTTCCAGCTTCAGTGTCAATTTCTCCAATGCCATCATATGACGGATTCGCACTAAACAAAACCTTTGGAGAGAAAATAAGACATTAAGACATTGTCTTTTGGGCATTAAGATACGATGCCATCGATTGTATAAAAATGGCTTTGATAAAATGCTATAGCAACAAAAATCCTTGTGAACCGTCAAAGGGCTATCGCTTTGCTACAGGTTAGGCATGGTCCTTACAAGAGCGGCAAGAAAGTAGAATAAGGGGGGTTCAGGGGATAAGAGCAACTAATCTTTTGTGGTATTTTGGAAACACTAAGTATGATGAGGAGACTTCTAGGGGTACAGATGGCTATGTCCATCTGTTTGTTTGGGTAAAATTTGTGACAGAAAAGGTATTTGAAGGTAACTATTTCTACGTAGCATAAGCAGGCAACTTAGAACACTGAGGATTTATGCTTATAAAAAATAAGGAAGTTTGGTGGCATATAGCCAGAATTCTAGGAAATATCTTTTGTGGCCATGCGTGTGGGATACTGGAAAACGCCCTTTTTGAAAACTAGTTGCTTCCCGAGTTATGTCATTGGCTTACTGAGTTACAGAGAAGTTACTTTCCTTCTTTCATTTATGATTAGAAAATATGTTTAGGGGAAACTAATTCATTGAGATAGCTAGAAGATTTGACAAAATAGAATTTGTAGCGGATGGTCTGAGGGAAGAGTGAGGCTTAATCATTTGCTTCCCATTCAATGCCCTATTGAAATTTAACCATCTAAAGTTTCAGTTAGCAATGGAATTTCACTTCAAGGTGTGAAATTGGTTAAGATGGCTCAAGAGTTAGGGTTCATAGACTGCAGATCCATGCAGGAGCGGATCCAGAGCAAATTTGAAGGAGAGGCAGTTGGTAGTGGAGGTGCTTAAAAATAGTCGGAAATTGGTGATGAGTGTACGCTGTATACCACAATTTCAGACCCTAACTACAGATAGAAGGTTCTGTATTTAATTTGTAAGGAAATTTTCACAATATTTGTTGAAAACTTTGAGGTAATCCTTGAAGTAAAATTAACCTATAAGTCTCAAAAACTTTTCACCTGATTCTCATACTTCAAAAGGGGTGTAAAATTAACAAATAGAGGCACCAGACTTGCTTCAACTTGGTGAGGGAGGGGCAACTGCCCCCACGTCTCTTCAATTCAAGCATAGGAACCACAAGGTATGGTCAAGCGAGAGAAAGGACAAAGACACTGCTTGACAAGCATAGGAATCAAGTGGTGTGGCCACATTGAGGGGAAGGACCAAGACACTCCTCAATAAGCATAGCTTCTCAGTTTCCTTAACCTGCCTTTGAAAGCTAGGTAGCAGCAAATACAGATTGCAAAGGTGAAACTTCTTACCTCAGTCGCTTTTTCTTCATTTATGAAGGCTTCAGTTTGCAATGAGCCATCAACAGCCTTCCATGAGGTGTCATTCAAAATGTCATCTAAGGATTGTTCAGCTGAAATGTTGTCAAAAATAACGTTATTAGCTACAACAAACTTTAAGATAGTAAACTTTTATAGCAAAACCATACTGATACAAAAGTGGCTAAGCAGTCTGTTAATCACCTGATTGGCCAATATTGATTTATAGAATGGTTTAAGCCACTTAAGCATTGTTGAGTGCCTTTAACTAATACACTCCAGATGCACTCTTACATAAAAATCTTACTTTGTTCACCAGAATAAAGAGAAAAGATAACATGGAAAATATAAAATGGATAAAACCTGTCTGCATGATCATTCTATTTCCTTTTCATTGAAAATCACTCTAGCCAGAGCACATGGAATGAATGAAATACATTTTCAAATTTACTTGAGAGTGTCTAAATAGCAACAGAAGTATTTTCAACAGGTACTGTCATATATCCATGATGATCTTATGCTTATACTTTAAACACTGTACTGTAAAGAACTTTTCAGGAATAAAGCTTCCTCTGCAGAATCATTATAATTATCATAAAAGAATATCAGTCTCCTTTTTTGAATGGAAGTCAGAGTGGTATTTACTAAGACAGGGCTTGCAGCTTCCACTTGTATTTATCATCTGTACCCAGTAAAATCTCGGATAAAAACTGAACATGACTCTTACTTGACCTGATGCACCTAAGCAAGAAACCATCAAAAACATGTTCTAAATCTTGAGCAAATTCCATTCTAAGAGCCTCATCAACTAGCTTATGCCAAAAACTTTCAAGCAACAAGGCAGTGGGCTTGAAAACCTTTTCGTCTTGTGTCATGGGCAAATTTTTAAAAATCTTATTGTATTATTATTACTCTTCAACAACGTATTCATTAAATTGTTCAAATATTTTGTTGAATTCCACGAATTTAAATAAAAGTTGAATTCATCAGACTATTCATAGCAGAGTTTGGTAAATGTTTGAAAAAAAATTGCTCCTGATGAAGCTGACCCCTTTGCTAGAAATAAAATTAGTTAACATAAAATGTAAGAGAATAGTTAGATAATATGTTAACATAAACTTGTTTGAATTGTGGGCTTCAGTTTACGAATTCAGCAAATGGAAATAGCTTTCAACCAACCATCAAGAATGTTAGATTCTGTTATTTCTTCATAAATTAAGCCTTTGCCTCCATTTGGTAACATTTCAACCTTTACATTAATTTTGCCTGGGTTGATGTCAGGTGAATCTCCATCTTTTTTATCAAGTTCACCTTGCCATCTGATGTCTTTTAAGAACAGGAAGATCCATGTTAAAAAGTGCAGCATTTTGATGATCTGAAACCATTAAATGAGTGTAGTATGAAACATCAACAACCAGTGTTTAGCTTAATACTCTAAATAACTTTGGACAATGATGTGAGTATCAGTCTGAAACTGGCATAGGATATAAATACAGAATAATTTTGTAAAGGGCTTCATGATCCTTGTACACAAAATTTAACCCATTGAAGTATAAGGATAGAATGAAAGGTTATTAAACAAATGAAAGAAATTGAAAGATAGCAAAAGTAGAAATCAGATGCTGTTGCACAACCCTTTTCCTGGTCGTAAACAAGAGAAGAAAGATTGGGCTCGGGAAAAGTCAGATGCCAACCACAGCAATGCAAAATATTCTTTCTTTTCGGGCGCTATTGAATTTATTAGTTAGTTTCTTACAACTACGATGAAATAGAAATTTAATTTTGATTGACCTAAAGCAATGTTGATGTTTGGTTTTGATCAAGAGCTGTGGGTTGTGCCAAGATTTGTGCTTTGATTTATAATCCCTGGCTCAAAAAACCCACAACTATGCTTTGAAACTCGGCCAAAAAGCTATGAACTGTGCGACATAAATTTACATAGAACATAAACTTCGACAGGATTGTACTAACGTCAATGATTTGTGTAATATGTACACCAAATGTGTTTGCATATTGTCAAGAGTTCTTATATTGCTCACTTAACTTATTTGACCGTTATTATTTGCCTATTTGATGTGAGAAATAAGAGCTTTACAAACTCTAGAATACACTAACTGTCCAAGTAAATTTCTAGTACATTTTATCAACAAATATCAACTGATTACACATTTATTTACTTTAGGTCCCCGCCCTTTTATAATAAGCAACGTTACTAAATGAAAGAAACAATGGCGATCAAGCCGAGATTTGTAGTTTAACACTCAAGATAAATTCGCCACAGGGGTCGATTAAAAAATGTATGTAGCAAGGAGTTCAATTCAAATTCATTTACCTTGGATTAATGTCTCTTTGCTGCCATGATTAATTTGGAAGTTTTTCCAAAGAAAGCCGGCGATGCCAGGCTACAAAAACATTCCCTTCAAGAACGTAAACATTTCTCCTCCACAGAAGTGAGAAGTAGAATTAAGCTTCAAAGTCCCCTGTTACCAGTTGGTTTTTGTGTAGTGCTAGGGGACTCAGGGGGGCTGAGTCCCCTTGTAAATGCCAAAAAATAGCCAATTTCTACTTTTGCTATTGTTTTTCGCAGCGTTTTGCGCAAGAGCCCCCCTTGTTATTTTAATAGCACTGCATCCCTGCCCTTACGTATATTACTGTTAAGAGCTGGCTCCAAGGTCTGGGCGAAAAAAACACTAAAAATTGATCCACAAGAAGCGCTGTAATAAAATTTCAAAATCTCCCGTCCAGTTCTTAGTAGGATAACTTTTCAGTTTCGATCAAATTCGATGAGAATATCTCGGGATATGAGTAATTTTTGGCAAAGTACTTATTGGTAATCGAATACGATTTTGAATCAACCTGTACGTAACCAAAAGTTAGCCATGGGTGCTCTCTTCGTTTAAAATTGGCCTGTAATTATCGCAAAAATGAGTTCTAAAGAAACCAGAAATGCAAACCACAGACTTGTCTTTTTACTTTGAGGCTGGTGTTAACAGTACCATTGATAAGGGGGTAGCCGGGGCCCAGGTGTCAAGAAGGGTCCGCAAAAGACTGGCTAATGATTGCCTCTGCGCCACTACTTCTGCGAAAGGACCCGTGTTGTGTTATAGCCCCAGGGGCCTGGGTGTTCAGGATATGATAAACGAGTTAAGGGGCCCAAAATCTGTATGATATATCAGTCCATACAAAATGGAAAGTCTGTTCATTAACATTTGATGCTGTCTATACTTTTTTCAAGTAATGCTTATGTCTTCCTGTCACAGAATTCAGTTGTCAAACGCCAAATGAGGCTATGATGCCCACAACAGAGGTAGACATTCATATTTCAAGTGGGAGGCAGGGGGACAAAAACCTCCAAAAACAAGCAAATTTTCCGACAAATGACAAAACTTACAACGGCGTTTCACAACGTCTTGAAAGGACTCACCTGGGAACCAGAGCCTTGGTGAAAGAGATGGCCGGACAGTGGTCTGACGTACCCACTCTTTCATCGATCGATCTTTCACTGAGGCTCTGGCAACCATGGAATAAAAGAACAAAAGCGCCAATAACGGTGCTTTACCTGACAATTTAGCTCTCGCCCCAACATCTCCACTAGGGGCTCTAGCCCTCACATCTCCGCATTTTCCGCCTTTGACCAAAAATACCTTTTACTTGCAACAACGTACGAAAGTGGTGCATAGGGGGTACGCGCCCCCACTTTTCAGAAAAGTAAGTGCATATTTGCAACTTACGGACATGCCCCATTCAAAGTGCTTTCTGTTTTTATTCTTATTTGCTTTGTATGAACGAACATTAATACACCAATTCGACTTAGGACCTCGTTTTGGAAATTTCTCCAAATCTAATTTTACGACTTTTAAGTTCAGATTTGGTTTTATCACCATAATTTTAGGCCATATACAATTTTTTATACTGTTTGTGCTTGTATTTTAGATCTTACGGAGAAACGAAGTTTGAAATCTTGTAAGGGATTTGACCGCAATAATCATTCCGGGTGAAACTTTACACCCCTAGTTGCCAATCACGGTCAAATCCCTTATAAAATGTTTTTTTGAGTCGTCATAAAATCATAAAATCTGAAGTAAAAAATAATATACAACAGAATTAGACGAATTTTTCAAAATAAGGTCGAATTGGTGTATTCATGTGTGGAGTGGAAAGATGAGGGTTTGTAGTAATTATTCTCAAACCATCGTGTGTCTTCCATTGTATCACTGTGATTGATACTTTATATTGTCTCACAGTAACAACACTATTGTAGCGTCCCCTCGTTCTGTGTGTATACACCCTGTATTGTGATCTATTCGGTCAATAAATCCATCAAGACGTATAATAGTCTCTTGCTGGCTCCGACAACAGCACGCTTCTAAAAGAACTTGAAGTTTAAATACAGAAATCTTCATCAGCCAGCGTTCCTATATTTAAACATTAAAGAGCACCCAATTGATATTTTTTGTTTTAGTTTTTAAGACATCATATGCAAAAGGCTGCTCCTTGTTGTTTTCATAGTTTTTTGTTCCTTTTTTTCCAAACACGGACACTTATACCAACATCACAGTGAGTTTTTGCGGTTCAAAAGAAATGTATTTTCAATTTTAAAAGTATTTCTATCCTCTCCTCAACATACAAAACGTTCTAAAAATTACAAAACGATAAGCAAAGACATATTTCATCTTTTGCATTATAAATATAACAATTGTAAATATCTGCCAGCAGAAAACTCGCCTAAACAGTACTAAAAAATCATAGCAATTAGAAGGCCTATAAACTTAAACTAAAAACGAGATTACCATTTTTGGTGGTACTCTGAAACCGCTATCCCCTACTTATCATTTTTGCAACTAAAATAAAAACACCAAATGCTTTTTAATGTGACATTTCATGTGACTGCTAGATAGAGAAATTAAGCAAAGAGACACAAGGAACACCCCTAAAATTGGACATTTCGCAAAGTCACCAAGACCCTGTTTAAACAAGCGAAAGTGGCTCAGTTCTCTTTAGATCCAATCTAAACGGGATCGGATCAAATCTTAACGGGATCAGATCAAAGCCTAACTGGATCGGATTCATTCCAAATTGGATCGGATCCAATCCAAACAGGATCGGATCCAATCCAAACATGATCGGATCCAAGCTTAACTGGATTGGAACCAATCCAAACAGGATCGGATCCAATCCGAACAGGATCGGATCCAAGCCTATCTGAATCGGAACAAATTCCAACTGGATCAGCTCCATAGTCTTGTGCCGGTGTTTACACGGAAACGGGTCCATTTGGATTTAAATATTGATGCAGTTCACTAACTCGGCTCAGTGATGATCAAAGAATTAAGAGCGTGCAATTCCTTATTGAAAATAATGGGCATGATATTTTATGACTTAAAAATAATGTTTTAATCATACCTAGTTCTGATACCAGATTCAAACAGGGATAAAATAAGAAAGATGACAAAAGAGAGTTTTCTTTAATCTTTCCGAATGAAAAACGAATCACACAAAATACAACTTTCACTCTCTTTTCTATGCAACGCGGAAAACTATTGCCTTTGAATCTGACCGTTTACATGGGAGCCTCAGTGGATCAAGTCTAAATGAAAACGATTACGTAGCAAATCCAAACGCGAGATTATAAAATCCACACTGGATCAGATAAAGCCGTTCTCGTGTAAACACAAGCAGATCCGTATCAGCTTGGGATCCTACCCAAATGGAACATTTTGCTTTCGCGTATACAGGGTTCAATTCAAAAAAGTCCTAACACTTAGTGAGATGCAGTGACACATTACTAAGTTTTGCAAGGTAAAAGACATCAGTCATCGTCTCTTTCATTCCTCATTTGTTCTTTGAGCAATGTAAACGCTGACTTTGGCATTTCATCTTTTGATTCTGCATCTTCGCTGCATGAAGGTTGTTCTGGATGGTTTGGTTCTCCTGAAAGAGAAACCATAGATCACATCACATACTGAAAATTAGTAAATGCTCGTCCCCGTGTACTGTAAGCAATCAAGTAAACCCCCTGCCCGATATGCCTGTACGATAAGTGTTGCATACGTACTAGTCTATAGCCTCGTTTATATGTTATGTTCTGTTCTGTTTTACTAACCTCGTATTTAGAGGAATTAGATGAGAAGATCATAGAGAGTTCGCATTAATTCTATTACACTGTTTTGCCAAGGACTAGTTGAAGTGTTTCTTATTGTTGCATCCCTAAACAAGGGAGGGACGCTTATTCAAACAGATAGTCACCTAGCATTGACGCTACTTCAAAGAAGCATTACCTTTGGCAAAATTGTTTTTGTGTGTTATAACGATAATATGCCAAGAACTCATATTTCATTAAACTCTTTGGCCAACATGCCTTGTGCTTTAGAGTAGGTAAAAACAAGGAAGTTGTAAAAAATCTTCGTAAAGGTATCATGGTGAGGCTACCATTAAATGAGTGACAAAGAAAATTCTACCGAAAAGGCGCTGATTACAGATTTGAGCCCCGTTTTTAAGATGTTTCTTTAAGGTTATAAATATTCTGCTATCAGACTGCATTGAAATACTTCTTAACTATAATAGAATCATGTTACTTCGAAGTAAAACAAGGGTTGATACAGTAAAGGCAACAGTGCACGTGAATATAAAAATTTGACGTAAACCCTGGTTTGGGAAAATGCCCATTTTTGGTAAACGCAGCAGGTATTCGCCGTTAACCCAAAATTTTGTCATTACCAATAAGTTACGGAGAGGCAGTACTATCTAGTACCACAGCATCTTGTGTGTCCATGACCGCTGGCGCGTCATCATTCCAAAGGTCTGTGCGACACAGGCAAAGGCGTACATACAGTAAGAGCTGTCAATAATTTGCAAATAAAGTGTGGAAAAACTGAAAAATAAAGTGGTACTAGATAGACTACAACCACGTAGCTGTAGGTGTCGGCTAATGAGGGCAAACTCGAGCAAGAACCATACCTGAGGGAGACAGGCTTTAAAACAAGAAAACAGATATATAACAAACAGATATATTTGGACAAAATCAAGGTCATGGAATTCTAAATATGCCAAATTTTCAAAATATCATTTGGAAAAACTGTAGCCAGAGGGGGCAAGCTGTTGTCAAAATTTTAACTTTGCACAGCCCCCCCCCCCTCGTGCCCCCCTGTAGCTACGTGGCTGATAGATTAGTAATGTTAATACCACTACGCGCCGCCACTGAGCGCTAACCTAAGTAACAAGTAACCGTTGTACTTACCCACATCCGTACCGGCCGGTATAACACGTTCCAGAAATTTGTCATACTTAACACTCACACAATGGCCTTGATTGCTTGAATTCACAAAGTCTGTTGTCTTAAAAGGGGCGTCTAGCAATTTGGATACGTTCTTCGGGAAGTATGCAAATTGACAAGCAGGGCCTTTCATCTGCCACCGATACCAGATATTATCGAGCAAACCGTGATGAAGAAAGAATTCAGGCGCATTAGCCGCGTAATTCGACGACATCTGACCACCTACAATAAATGCATAAAAATATTGGTTAACAAATTTTCTTTCAAAAACGGTTCATTCAAAAATTTAATAGTTTCTTGCACCTTCCCTTGGCTGGAAAATTTCTTGAAAAAATATAACCAAAAAAAATATTACGGAAATCTTGCCAAACAGCAACATATTGTCATTCCCGTGGAGAAGAGACATCCCAAACACCCATAGCTTCGGTTGTGTTCAGCAACCTCGTTCTGATAACGAATGGTCTAATGGACGCACGATTTTTCGAATATTTGAATTTGTCGGCAATTCCTTAGAAGAAACGAAAGCTACAACCCTTGATAATTACAACGTACAATTATTTTAATAAAAATCTATATTAATATCATATAAATGAATACAAAGATGAATATATATTCGTTTTAAAGATGAATATATACATATAAAAATATATGAATCTTCAAGAGAAACACTCTCATGTAAACGTTTCGACCGAAGTCTTCATCAGTAAATGATGATTGATTGCTGATGAAGACTTCGGTCGGAACGTTCACATGAGAATGTTTTTCTTACAGATCTATATTATTTTTATTACACTTGTAGTTGGAGCTTTTGATAGTATGCATACATAAATATACATATAATCATAAGGCAAAAGCTGACAGGAGGAAAATTCTTTCCACAAGGATACTGTCCAGTTGTATCGAACTACTCTTGGTCGAAATCGAACTCCAGTTTGCTGCTTCAAAAACCCCTGCTCATTCCACTGAGCCAAACGGCCCAATGAAATGAGAGATGAATCTCCGAAGCCAACACTGGAGATCTTCTGTTTCAGCTTAAAGCCTTCATCAAAGCCATTTAAAGCATATATATATATAATCATAAGGCAAATGCTGACAGGAGGAAAATTCTTTCAACAAGGGTGCTGCCCAGTTGTATCGAACTACTCTTGGTCGGAATCGAACTCCCGTTTGGTGCTTCAAAAACCCCCGCTCATTCCACTGAGCCAAACGGCCCAATGAAATGAGCGATGAATCTCCGAAGTTAACACTGGAGATCTTCTGTTTCGGCTTAAAGCCTTCATCAGAGCCATTTAAAGCATATATATATATAATCATAAGGCAAATGCTGACAGGAGGAAAATTCTTTCCATAAGGGTGCTGCCCAGTTGTATCGATCTATATAAATATAAATATTCATCTTTAAAACGGACAGAACGATTGAATATAAAACAGGACTGTACCGATTTCGTTGTGCAAGTCATTGTGGTAGTCTTCCCTCACAGCATTGTCAAAGCGTTTGAAATCTGTGCATGGAAATCCAATCGTCCTCAAAACATTAGCAACGTTGGGGCATTCACTATTGAAACTCCTCCGTAAACATCGTTTGTAATGCGTGCTATCAGAGACAGGAGTTTGGCATTGGCCGGTTACATCCTTTATTGCGCTCAAAACATCCTCTATCTTTTCAGGTGCCGGATGGGACCACCCTGATTCGTTGAAGGGGCCGGTTTGAACGCAATACTGCCTAGATTCTTTGCCGTCACCTCCAAAACCGTCTAGAAAAAAGACAAGGTGGAGTTTGTTATCCATACAGAAGTGGTGGGGTCAATGGGGTATGAAGGGGTAATTAACCTCCCCCATTTTTGTCAAAACATGGTCCACGTGTTTTCTCTAGAAATTGATAAAAAGCGATAGGTAGGGATGAATATATTTTCGCCTTAGGAAAATTCACCTGGAGCAAAGTACTGAAACGAGGCAAAAGAGGCGTGGTCTCACTGACCACACCCATTACCCTCCCACTCTGCAGTAGCTGGCGACGCCACTGCTAAGAAGGTAGAACATTCAACACAGTCTACGAGATCTGGAGAGGAAAAATTTCCATCCTCAGTGAGCAAAAATGGTTTGAATAAAAACTGTTTTTGACAGTCTTCCTTCATAAAACTGCTGCAGCAATCATAATGTGCACAAAACTCGTTTTAGTTCACAACTAACTTTTAAGAACACTTACATTCATCATTCGTCCAGATGTGCACTCCAACTTTCCAAGCAACTGGGCTCCAGTAACTCCAGTCCCAAAAAGGGACAGTGATTCTGCAATCAACTTCCCGCATCAAATTCTCAAATTGGTAAACGTACCAGCGATGCCATGGGAAGAACTGATACCGCTTGTGAATACCTTTCGAAAAATGGAAGCAATTAGTATTTTTGACAACTTTTTAAAACATACCCCTCTTTTATTATTTAGTAAGCAAAAGACCACAAAATAATAAGAATGGTACTGCAATTGTTAATGAGCACAGTGATCACATGACATCCGTCAAGGAGCGGCTGTCATGTAAACCGGACGGCCAGGAAGACTAATTAGTACGGTACCGCGTAAACGTAACGAATTTTCATTCGCTCGAATATTCATTCGGTACCGTGTAAACAGGGTCTTAATTAGAATACGAAGGTCATTAAATGAAAAGAAATATATTTTTACTGAACTAGTTCAAACCTGAATGAATATTATGATTGATGTTTAGAGAAGTATTGGCCCTATATATAAAAAAACACATGTTCCTTACCTAACCAAAAAAGATTTGCGTGTTTCCGGATAAATTTTATAAATCTCGATTTCAGTGGCTCCACAGTTGTTATTTTGAAGTAGGCCTGCAAGTATCGTTTTTTCTCCTCGTCTGTAAATGTTGTAAATTCTCGTCTGACTCGTTGACAATTTTTCATAAAACCATTAGAGCATTGGCATTCACGATTGCACTCGTCAAGTATCGTTCCACTTTTTTTGCACTTAGTATAAGGCTCTACAAAAAAGCATACTTTATCCATACTCGAGTTTAACTTCAATAGGCAGAGGACGAGGATGTGCCTTTTTGAAAAATGAAAACATACCTTAGAATTTCTAAATTTTCCAAAAGCCCTATCACAAAACTTGGAAACAAAATGAAACGGATACCCTTGAATTTGATTCAAATTTTCCAAAATCCCTCAATCAAGAAAATGAAAACATATTACCCTTCTTCTATAAATAATACCCTAGAATTTGACAAGAGATCGATTCCAAAATTTATGACCATGTTTGGTTTTACTAAAGTCGATACCTCAACATTCATTTTCCACTTGTTAAAGGTACTCCGAAAAATGGCCCATCCCGCACCAGTGTATGTGGAAGTTATCCCCGATTACCCATACTGTTTTTTAAACAATTTAAACTTAGCCATTTTGATTCAACATCGTGTCACAAAGAATGAACTGCAGTGGTGTAGGGGCTTTTCTGTTCACTTTCAAAAGAAAGGGATTGCAAAACTATTAAAACCTAAAAGCAAGCAAAAGTCAATATTGTCTTCATCCTTTCGCTGTTAGAAAATGATTCAATTTTGGTGCCACACCCTTTCAGAGGACTAGAAAACGATGGGAACGCCCTTCTAAAAATCGAGTTTTCAACTTCAAGATAAAGAAAATAAGAAGTAAACTTTTGCATTATTTCGTTACTACTGACTATCAAAAATGCTTTTAACCGAATCAAGACAAAATTTACCGAAGGTCACAAAAATATTGGCAGGGGATGTCATACCCCTAAACTCCCTGGTTAATCCGTAATAAGCATAAATGGTAGACTTTTGATAGTATTTACACAAACTAGAAAAAACAGACCTTTCCGATGAGCCAGCTTGAAAATAACATTTTTGTGTGTTTTTCTGTCATTTTTCAGCCTGTTAAAATCATCTCTGCCAGAAATGCTTGCAATCGCACGAAGTTCCTTGAAATCTGGATTTTTCCCGACCGCCAACACTTGAATTTTAACGCCAAGCTTTTTCAAAGTCTTCAGGCTTTCATCAGGATACTTTCCCTCGTTGAATTTCCCGTCTGATATCAAATAGATTTCTTTATCTTTTGCGAATCCTTGGTAAGACTTGAACAGGTAGACAGCTTTGCGCAGAGCAGCATCAATATTTGTCCTTCCCTTTCTTGGTCTACAGATGAATAAGAGGATTGCTAATAACCACCTTTGAAAAACTTTTAGGAAATGACTTGTGTGGAACATAAAAAACTAAGCATTTGAATGTTCTTGAACGTTTTCCCAGTTCTCCAAGAAACTGAAAGGCTTGGTCGCAGAAATTTGTTTTTTTAGAGGGGGGGGGGAGCAGTTTGATGCATCAGTCCAAGGCCCGAGCTGGCTCTCATAATTATACTGAGAAAAATGTTATAAATATTAAAAACCATTGTATTAGTTTGGATCCAGTCCTCTTATCATCAGCCAAAGCACTGACGACACCCCACGTTGGGCGCCATATGTTGTTAAGACAAAATTTTGGTCCCAACCAATTACCTAGGCTTTTAACAATTACAACAACACGTAACTGTGACAGCGAGTATAGCTAGTGCATATATACCTTCTTTGAATTTTCTTGAGTCTCTTTAGTACGCATTCTCTGTTCACATATTGTTCGAAATTAAACTCGATCTTTGCTTCTGAGGCGAATGTAACCATTGCTACTCGAACAGAGCTTGGTGATATGCTTAGATGATTGACAAGGTTTTTCAGGAAATTAATGTCATGACTGTAAGTATTTCTTGAAATGCTTTTAGAGCAGTCCAGTATTATGACTAGGTCCTTCCTTGGGGATGATGTTGCTGCAAGTCAAAGAAACAACGAAGTAGTAAACAACAGAATAAAGAGAGTGATTGTTCAATAAAATATATGAAAACATGCTGAAAAAAGTCATTGGGATCTACAAAGGTCCATAACTGTCGTTTATATAGTATTCCAGGGACTGTAGAAAATGAGGAAATTTTACAAATTATGAATTATATGAATTATATGTTCGAAACTATGTACCCCGTTGCACTGCTAACTTCTAATGATAACTAGTTGCGTAAAGTAGACTTCATGTTACTAAATGAACGAAAACCCAGAGTTTTGCATTTGCACGGATCAATGTCTATTAGAAGTGCACTACTTGACCTTAGTGTCATCCTAAAGGTGTGTCACGCCATCATCTCTTTAAAAGAGGCTGTCGCCTTTCCAGTTAAACATTTGAATATCCGTAAGATAATCTTGTCCATGAAAGGTCAAGCAGAACAAGCATGGTCACATTTTGACTATCCATACCGAGGGGCAAATCTCTCTAAACAATCTTCCACGCTTTTGGGGAAAAGTCTTTTTTTCGAGAAAAATCTCCTAAAGAAATAAAAAATTTAAAATTGCAAACATTTTGAAACATACTAAAGCTTTCGTCTGACCTTCTACAGAGTAAAAAAAATACCCAATCAGTAACGTGGGCACATGACTTTAAGGGTTTTCCAATCAGTGTCGCTGCCTTTTTGATTTCATCGAATGTCATTTTCACATATTATTCCGAGTTTCTCTCGTATGGTTTCGATTTTTTTGCACAAAGAACTGGCCAAATTCATCAACTAATGCGAAGGATCTTGAAATCCGGGAGAGGACTACACTTTCTACACCTGCTAAGTAAGCAAGACTTCAAAAACCACCTTTTGATCTCCAGCACAGCCATAGGCAAGATTTACAAACACTCTGCGCTGTGCTTTTCCATTTTTCATTTGTTTTCCCAACCCGAATACTACCAGCCCCTTTCCACCAGGGAAATGAAGATAGTTATCATATAAGCCACAAAAAAGGGTACTCCATAAACACTTTCCTTTTCCATTGTGATATGTTCCTAAGGGGGAGAGAGGGTGGATAAATTTGCTTTTGAAAGCTAACGTTAGGGTTCCAAGACTTTTTGCAGTGATTGTAGGAAAATTTGCAACTCAATCATGATCGCCAGGTCTCAAAATTTACCCAAGCCAAACCGTGCCTCTAAAAATTCCAAAATAAGCCAAATATGTAAACGAGGTTATAGAGCAATAGAACGCGAAGAAATGAAAATGAGGCTCTTTGGAAAATTTGTGTTCTAGTGATCCAAAGTTGGTGGTCAATCGATCCAACATTCAGGTTAACACGATCATATTCATATAATTTTTTATAATACAAAGGAAACCTGAAGGTTTGAAAGAAAATGATTGTAAAAAGACGGAAGGCTCGGCTCCGTGTAACCCTCATGCCGAATTTTGGAAAACTTTCGTCAAAATGCACCGCTCCTTAAGTTTAGAAGAGATTACACATAAAAAATATGTTCAATTAAATTGGTAACATAATTTCCTGTTGAAAATGAATTAAAATCTTATGACGAAACGAAAAAAGTTCTCTTGGTCTCCACCATCTCTTGGTGGCGGAACGAAAAAGCTAGGTTTTCAATATTTTCAACAATAAATTATGTTATCAATCTAATTGCACAGGTGGAGCGTTTTCGTTCCTTTGAATAGGAAGAGTTCGGCGTTTTTGAGAAAAAAAAGAATTATTATTGACCGTACCCCCCAGCAATCATTGCTGATTCACAGGGAACAGGGAATCCCCTACCTTTCTGAACAAGACTCGACACTTAGTTGTGGGAGCTTTGTTTTGTGTTTACCGGGTCCATAGTGGTTGGTTTACTTTATTGAATAACCACAGAAAACAATTGGCAATAACCCCGATATTAAATGAAAACGGATAAAGATAAGTTGCCGAATACATGAATATAATCATCTGTTAGTTTTATTGGTTTCTTTACTTCTTTTTCGTGTTTGAAAGTTCGACACGTCAGGTACATACATTTGACATGAGTGCATTAGAGCGACGGCTCCGGCCCAACATCGCTCAGAACAAGGCAGGGAATATCAAACAAAGTGTGCCATGAATGTGGGAGAAGGTTTGCCATGAATATGAAACAAAGTGTGGCGTGAATATGAAACAAGTGTGCCGTGAATGTGTGAGAAAGTTTATCTGAAAAAGAATGTTTGCTGTGGATATCATGAATATGTGCCGTGACCCTTGTGGGCCACCGTAAAAAATGCCAAAGAATAGTTAATAAACTACTAGAAAAGCCTCTTGTATGGTTTTAGCCACTCCCCCGCTTTATTAGACCCCCCACTTTTCTCAACGCTCCGCGGTGCCTCTATATTTTGTAAGGTGCGTACCATAGTTAACAAAGTACATCTTGAAGGGTCCTCGAAATTAAAGAAGCGTGACAAATTAGTATTTAACTGATCAGTGGGAAGAAAGCCAAGGTGTACGCTTGAGTCTTCGTTTATTTTTTTTTACATCACGTTTTACGTTGACGTGTTTGTTATTTGCTGTTTGTACGCCGAAAATAAAATATTGTCACGAGCCTCATGGCAATTGCTATTATTTAAAAAGCAACAGTAACAAACAAAGCAAAACTATTAATAAAACCAAGAATGGCCGGTCAGTCAGTCAAAATATTCTGAGTCGTTAAAACAAAACAAGTCAATTCAAGGCGGAAGCAATTTGTATTCACGACAGCGATGAGATCAGTGGACAAGAACCGGCAAAGACTGGCCCTGTTCTTAATCTCTTAGTTCTGTTTGAATTTTTTCCAGAATCTAATCCAGAAGTAAACTGCCATTATTTATAACAGCTATCTGTGACAATCTGTGAAAGTCACACACGAAAGTCACCGATTCGAAAAAGTTTGAATTTTTACCATCTTCGACCAGTGGTGCAGTGCTTTAAATAAAAAATGGGCGCTCTTAAAAATGTTGAAAACAATATGTTAAGAGCCCCCATTTGGGCCCCCTAGCACTACAATCTTGTCTACGAAAGTTTGCTATGTTCTGAGTCAGTACGGAAACCCAATCACAAAAATTGAAAACCAGCCTTTCTGTTAGTGTTACTTCATAAGTCATTAATGCTGTATTACAAAGTTTCAATAGCGGCCAACCCTGATCAATCAGGACAAGGCCTACGGTAAAGAAGAAGAAGAGACAAAGCTTTGATAGCAACATATTTAACAGGTAAATTCTTCCTGTTTCAAGGTTTGCTACAAAATAAGTAATACTTTCGCAGTGATTGGACTTACCATTACATAACAGGAGCAGACAAACGTGATAGCAGAAAAGGAATCGCCAAAACATTCTGCGCCAACATTAAATTGATGAAAGCTTAGAAAAAGACTCGTATCATGCCTGCAAATTCTCAAGCTCCTTCTCAACTTTTCTTCAGTAAAGATTTTCGCCCGTGTTTTAGCGGACAAATCCCCAAATAAATTGAAAGTGGCTTGAATGTCCAAAGTCAATAGAAGAGTGACAAAGGACAGACAAAAGGAGCAAATTCAGCAATCAGACTTTTCCGGGGGTATAGTTTGCAGCGGCAGTACTTGTCTGTGACAGAGCTTCATGTTTTCATTTTCACCATATTATTAACACACAAACATTATTACAAGATTGTCATTCAACAACAACACAATAACTCTCCCCTTTAATTACAACAAAAAGGCTTTATACCATTTACAATGCGCATGTGCAATTACAACAATAGAGTGATAAATAAACAAAGTATTGATCCTACTACAGTCATCCCTTTCTAAATAGAAAAATGCAACTTTTTTCAACAGGTTAAAATTATGAAGTTAAAAGACCATAAGTAACATAAATATACACACTGAGTCAAATAGACAAGAATCATAGAGATGATAACAATATCTTATACAGCTCGTGTTTCTGGCGAGCGGACGTGTTTCTGAGAGCTCCGCAAAATGTGATCATATGATCTCATTGAAATCAATTTTATCTATATTACTAATCCGTTTAATTAATAACACACTGAGGCATGGTAAATTTTAAAGAAATTATATTCGACTTTTTTGGAAATTATACCACAACGCATAATGGCTAGCAAAGTAGCAAAGAAAACCAAGAACATGGACGTTACCGATACTATAAAAGAAACTGGAAAATCAACCGACGATCGGCTTGATATGGTTATCAGCCTTATAAATGATATAAAAGTTGAAAACAAAGAAATTTTCCAGAAATTAGAGAAACGGTTAGACAAATTTGAAAAATCGATGGAGTTTATTAACAAACAGTTTGAGAATCACAAGGCCATCACAGAGTCACTCATCAAACGCAACACCAAATTAGAAGAGTGCAACGCTAACCTCACAAAACAAGTCGACGACCTTAATGGCCAAATACAATCTCTTCGTCAAGATCATAATGACCTTGAACAGTATGGACGCCGCGAAGCAATCGAAATCGGGGGAATTCCTAGGGAAAAGGACGAAGACACTGTATACCTGGTCCTAAAAGTTGGCAAGGCATTGGGCATCTCGGTAGACGAACCAGACATAGAGGCATGCCATCGTATCAGCTCAAGAGAAGACGCAGCAATAATTTGCAGATTTGCCTCGAGAAAAATGAAAGTAAACTTTATGAGCAACAGAAAGAAACAGACAGACGCGCCATTCAAAAGAAAAGATCTGGGTTTTATATCCAACAAAGACAGAAAGGTCAAAGTCTTTATCAATGAGTCGTTGACACCAAGAAACAAACTCCTTTTGAAGAAAGCTCGAGACCGGAAAAAAGAATTAGGTTGGAAATACGTTTGGACAAGAAACGGGACCAATTACGCAAGGAAAGAAAAAGACATAGATTTTGTGCGAATTAAAGAAGAACAAGACATTTTCTCAAAAATGTTTTAGGTAATTCTAACCTGTTTTTTCTTTCTTTTATTTCGAGCCAATTAATGAAATAAATGATGGCATCTCGCGCAAAAAATCAACCTGACAGCACGACAAGTTGCATTTCATGTCCAACCTGTGACAAAATTATTTTGGACACTTTTGATAACTCGATATGCTGCGACCTGTGTAATTTTTGGATTCACTTTAAATGCAGCGGATTGTCCAAAAAACAGTTTCTATTACTTGGAAACAATAAATCCCTGTGGTTTTGTAAACAATGCTCTAAAGAAACATATCCCTTCCACGGACTCGACAATAAACAATTTCGTGATTTCATTTGTGAATCACAAGTGCGATGCAAGGAGCCTCTTGTGGATTTCCACAAACAACTACCGTTCAAAACAACTTGCTCTGTTTGCTCACGACGAGTAACTAATTTGTCTAAAAGCCTTTCGTGTCGCCATTGTCAAAGTTTTATACACAAAAAGTGTGCCCGCCTTCCAAACTGGCAACCTCACGACATCCGAGCGATTTTAGTAAATTGGTACTGTTCATCTTGCTGTGAAAAAATATTTCCTTTTTACTCTTTAAATAATTTTGAAATAATTGCTGAAGGATTCAACTCCAATGAAACTTGTCCATGTGCTACTATCACGCAAGAGCTAACTGAACTAGAACTTACCGAAACAGTTACAGAACTTGACTTCAGCAGACTTAAATTGAACACTGCTCATCCTAATTCAAACAATGATATCGATGAAAACATAAATCTCAAATGTAACTTTCAATACTACTCCACGCATGAATTTCATAAGTTACAACGAAAGCTAAAAGCATTTAGAAACACGCCATTTAGTATGATGCATACAAACATTCGCTCGTTGAATAAAAATATCAACAACTTAGAAATTCTTCAAACAACACTAGGACATAGCTTTGATATTATAGCCCTTTCAGAAGCTTGGATCTCCAAGGAAAACGAAAGTACAATTGAAAACCTACACTTAAATGGCTATCAAAAATTTCATGGTACTCCTGGCAATAGTCTAAAGGGTGGCTGTGGCTTCTTTGTTTCCGAAGGTATTACGTTTTTACCCAGGGAGGACCTAGACTACTCTTTTATAGGAAAAGATTGTGAATTTGAAGCAAACTGGATAGAAATTACCAACTCACCAAAGTCAAATTACGTGATTGGCGTTATATATCGTCACCCAAGAAAAAAACAAGAGGATAAATTCATTGAATACTTAACAAACACAGTATTATGCAAGATCAGAAAGGAAAACAAAATCGCATTTATTACTGGTGACTTTAATATAGACCTGCTTCGGTATGATACAGAAGCATATACAGACAACTTCTTGAATCTCTTACTATCAAATTTTTTCCAACCTCGCATAATTCAGCCGTCTAAAATTGCTGGTAATCAAAGACCTACACTGATCGATAATATTTTTCTGAACTCATTAGAATTTGAGACCTTTAGCGGTAATCTGATTTCTAAAATAACAGATCATATGCCTAACTTCATATTCTGTCAAAACCTAAATGTTAAATTCTCTAAGGGTAGGAAAAGTTTTTATCGTGATTACAATAACTTTGATGCTGATTATAAATCTCAGACCTAAGACAGGTGGACCTTGTAAAATTAATAAATGCTGAAAATAATCCGAATGCAAAATTTTATGTCTTTCAGGATACACTGTTAAATATTATCAATAAACACGCCCCCTTAAAGAGAGTCTCTAAGAAAATGCATAAAATGAGAAATTCTTAAATCAACTGGTATTCTTAAATCAATCTCAGTGAAAAATAGTTATTACTCGAAATTTTTGAAAACGAAAGATCCCTCATGCTACCAAAAATATAAAGGATATAGAGACCTTCTAAATCATCTGATAAGAAAAAGCAAAAAGATCTATTACATTTCCTATTTTGACAAATTCAAAAAAAATTCGAAAAAGGTTTGGTCTGGCATTAATGATATCATTCAAAAACAGAAAAAACACTCCAATGACCTTTGCCTTTCAATTAATGGTAAATTGACCACTAATCATAAAATCATAGCAAACTGTTTCAACCAATATTTTACAACTGTTGCACAAAGAATAGTTGACAAAATGAAACCCCCCACCAAGAAGTTTCAAAATTATCTTAAAACACCAAACCCAAGAAGCTTTTTTATTCAACCCGTTACACCTCAAGAAATTAATGACTTAGTTGCCAACTTAGACGAAACTAAAGCCAATGACTCATATGATCTACCCGTAAAACTCATTAGACTAGTAAGGTACACAATTTCATTGCCTTTCTCTTTAATAGCTAACTCAACATTTGAAAAAGGAATTTTTCCAGAGAAATTGAAATTTGCAAAAGTGACACCAATACACGAGGGCAAATCAAAACTTGAACTTACTAACTATAGACCTATCTCAATCCTACCAATCTTTAGTAAACTTCTAGAGAAGGCAATGCACTCTCGTTTGGTTAACTTTTTAGACAAGTACAGAATAATTTTCAGGCATCAATTTGGATTTCAAAAAAACAAATCAACAACATTGGCAATCTTAGATCTCTGCACAAAGCTAGTTGAAAACATTGAAGGAAAACGTTTTTCATGTTGTATCTTTCTAGACTTCTCTAAAGCCTTTGATACAGTCAATCATGGTATTCTGCTAGATAAGCTCGAACACTATGGAATAAGAGGAATTGCCCATTCTTGGTTCAAATCCTACCTTACAGAAAGAAAACAAACTGTCTCAGTTAATGGCGAATTGGCAAACGATCTATCTATTAACTGTGGAGTTCCACAAGGAAGTGTCTTAGGCCCACTTCTCTTTCTGCTATACATTAATGACATATATGTTTCTTCACAAAAGCTGGATTTTCATCTCTTTGCAGATGATACAAGCCTTCTTTTTTCACACAAAAACCTACAAACCTTAGAGAAAACAGTAAACTCAGAATTAGCAAATATCTCCGATTGGCTACTGGCCAACAAACTTTTCCTAAATGTATCAAAATCAAATTTTCTGATTATAAATCCGCATCAAAAAAGGCCTGATAAACCTATTGTCCTTCAAATTGATGACGAAAAGCTAGTTCAAAAAGACTACACTAAATATCTTGGCATAATCATTGACAAACACTTAAATTGGAAACAACATATTAAGCAACTAAATATTAAAATCTCAAAGAGCATTGGCTTACTATACAAAACAAGACACTTGGTACCTCAAAGCACACTTTGTACAATCTACAAATCGTTTATCCAATCTCACATACTTTATGGCATACTAAACTGGGGAAGTGCTTATAAAACTAATCTGGAGCCATTAAAATCTAGCCTTCGCAGAGCAGTTAGGGTGATCAATTTTGCCAAATACCAAGCTCATAGTGAACCACTATTCAAAAAACATAATCTTCTCAACTTTGATAACATGTATAAACTTGAAGTTGCTAAATTCATGTTTGATATTTATCATGAAAACGGTAATGACCTATTCAACAACCTGTTCATTAAAACAAATATACGTCATCAGCATGAAACAAGACAGTCTTCAAATGACAACTTCTCTTTCCCTTTGGTCTTGACAAATTACAAACAAAAGTCAATTGTATATGAAGGAGTCAAAATTTGGAATTCCCTGCCATTGCAAATTAAAAAGTTACCGAATAAGTAATCTTTCATCAAAAACCTGAAAAGTTATTTCTTAAAGTCGAATTGATATACTTATTTGAACCCAATTATGAACATTATCATTTATTACCACCATGCATCTCACTATTGTGTTTTTAGTATAACCAATTAACATATCTTATTATACTAACCCTATATTATCTTGATATTCCTCCTTTTTATTTTTCATTCACATTCTTCTTTTGAAATCGATCACCTACACCTATAAACGTCCAATCGGGCATATGACCTAGATAGCTCCTTGTGAGTTCTTTTCATATGTCCGACAGCAAACATACCAAACTTTGAACTATCTACTGTTTGTAGTTTTTCTTTTTTGTAAAAAATAATTGTTATTTGTGGTTCAAGTATTAAATAGAAATGTAGTAGTTAATTATTGCTGTGAATGAAATGTTTTGAGTTTTTGAGTTTGAGTTTTGAATACACGCTTTTTTATAAGGAACCACTTTATAAGGAACCTGCATGTAGAAGGCCGAAGCTTCACTGAGTAGTTTCTGCATATGCTGTCTCGCCCCTCACTCCATTAAATTCGAAGGCTTATTTAGTCAAAACAAATTAAGGAACTATTAAGGAACTTTTGGTACTACAACTTGATGATTTGAGGTCTACGAATTAGGAACTTTTGGAGCTAGGCCTTGAGGTAGGTTCCTTAAAAAAAGCGGTAACTCCATATTTACAGAAATAGTTAACGTACCACCATGTAAAGCATCATTTAGTTCGAGGTAGGGGCATGATTTAACTAACTCATGTAAGCGACCATGTCTAGCAAGAACAACAATTTCCCTAGCGGAAGGGCAATGAATGTAAACATGCTTACAAGCTTGAGAAGAAAAGAAATGGCAGATTTGGAAGTTAGAGATGATAAGTATTTGCCAAATTCGTATGCAATGGTGGCTAGATCAGGATCGATGGGAACGTGAGAACCTGATGATGAAGTAGTTTCCGATTCAACTAGTGCGTCTTCAGGTAAACGCAAATCATGGCGTTCTGGATCAGGCACGACCACCAGTTTTTCTATGTTGACAGGGCGTGGCAGAGGTTGACCAGAAGGAAAAGGGCGCAGATTGAGTAAATCAGAACGATTATAAGGATGACCAGTGACAAGAAAAGGGCCATAAAAACGGCGCAAATGGCGGGTGGATTGACCAATGTCTTTAGATGAAAGGTCTTTGCTCATGTAAACTATTTTACCATCGGGAATGGAAATATGGCGAGAGATCTCGCGCTGATGGCGATGTAAATAAGCTTAAATGGCTTTGAGCTGAGAATAAGCATCTCTTATGCGAGAAACAAGATTACGAGCATAATGATCAGCAAGTAAAGGTGTTGCTGGCAGATTTAACGAGATAAGTTCAGAGGATGGTGCATCGCGGCTAAAAACTAGGAAAAATGGCGTGATATCTGAGGTACCTGAAATTAGCGATGTATTATGTGCATAGACGGCAGGTTGAAGATGTTGAACTTTTTCACAATAGAAACCAAAGACACTATTAAGGAATCGGTGGACACGTTCAGTAGAACCATTTAATCAAGGGCGATATCCAGAGGTAAAGACCTGTTTCATAGAAAGCAATGCGGTAATGCGATGTAAAATAGCATTTAGAAATTCACCACCACGGTCACTCTGAAGGACAGATGGAAAACCAAAAGGCAGAAAGACTTCTGTCAATAAGGCACGAGCATAGTCGTGGCACTCGAATCTGGTACTGTTATGGCACGAAGAAAGTTGGAGAAAGGGCAAAGAATGGTTAAAATCAATTTATTACCAGAATGTGATGTAGGAAGTTCACCTACGTAATCTATACCCAAGATTCGTGAACGCCTCTTTCCAAAAATGAGGCCACCAACATCGCTTTTGTTGGAGCAGTGTGAACACTTACCGTATTCGAATCGTATTCATTTGAAAACGGATAAATGTGAACAGACAGCGTTTTCAACAACGAAAACGGAGCGAAACGAATACGGAGTAGTGTCGACGTAGCAGCCTCCCGCCGGGCCGTATGTCTAATTTGCAATAATTAGTTACAATCGCATGGCACATCCAACAGGCTTATAAATCGTTAAGCTTTAAATGACTTGACTCAGATTTCATTTTATCATATTTTTACACAGAAACCCTATCAGCTATCAAGTTAAAAAAAGAAAAAGTAAAGATTAATCTATATATGATGCTGGTCTTCCTAGGGATCGTGCTTCGGGAAAGGATGCTAATTTTGCAGGAATTCCTTTAATTTTTATTTTGAACGTGGTTATCGTGGAGCTCATTCTTATCTGTAATGGAATCTCGTTCCACGTCTGTGCACCACAATAGAAAAAACTCCTTTTGGAGAATTCTAGGTTTTGCCTTGGGATGTCTAGGTAAAGGCAATTTCTTGTTGAATAGCTAGATATTTGGGATCTTGTGACAAGTTTACCTTTCAAATTGTCAGGGCAGAGACCATTTATTATTTTGTAGATCATTACTGCCCTGTCAAATTTGCTCAAATTTGAGACCGAAAGCCAATTGCAGCTCCACCCGTCCTTTAATCTTGAGCCTTCTATTAGCGTGCGCGCTCTGTTTTGTAAACGCTGAAGATGATCGAGCTTTGTGTTTGATAATTTGTCCCATAGTTCATCACAGTATCTCAAATGACTCTCGAGCAGCGCCTTGTAGACCTGATCTAGTTGCGATTGCGGGATTATGTTCTTTAGTTTCCACAGGGACGAGAGTGCATTTTTTATTTTACCTTAAAGGTTTTTATATTGCTCATTCCATGTCAGGTTTTCGTCGACCGTAATTCCTAGGAACTTTACCTGTTGAGCTCGTTTGATTGGCTCTCCATTTACATTTAAATCTAGTGGGCCAAGGATACGGTTGGTTTGTCGTTTATGACCAATAACCATATATTCTGTTTTTTCAGTATTCAAACTAAGCTTATTCTGACGTAACCATTCTGCAATATTGTCGATCTCAGCTTTTAGATCATTACAGAGATCGTAGATATCTTCGGCAGAAGGTATTATTCAGGATTACACTGTGGTTTATGAATACACGATCAGTAAAATCCCGTTTTCTCTGGACTTACAATTCTTTTACATATAGGTATGAAAAAGCTATTTTGCACCCAAGGAACAAACCGAATGGCTCAAAATTTTGCACACGGCCGGGAAAGATATCGGGTAACAAAAGCGTGTCTCAAAATTTTTGCATTTGCTCTGGTCCGTCTTTTATGGCCAAATACAGCTATGAGAGCGAAGAACAATTGCTTTCGCTCTTTGGTAAACCTGCGACACTCTTGGGTAGCTTGGGAACTGCGCTTCCTGCTGATATACGGTAAGTCAGGTTTTGTTGTCTCAAACGCAAGGGTGCAAAATAGCTTTTGAAGGTGGCACTCTCTTTTGAGCATTAAATTTGCCTGGAAAATATAATTTTATTTTAACATGGCTGGAATCACCACATTCTTATTTTGATATGGCTGGAATCACCACATTCGTGTGCATCGTTGTCCATTGTCCGTTGGCCATTGTTGAAGAAAGCTCTGAAGAAAAACTGCTAGGGGTGATAATAGATAAAAATCTTAATTTCAAAAGTCACGTCTCAAATTTATGCAAAAGAGCCAGCCAAAAACTGCATGCTCTTGCTAGAGTTTCGCCATTTATGGGTTCTGATAAACTGCGTCTCCTAATGAACAGCTTCATAAAAGCTCAGTTTAGTTACTGCCCCCTAATTTGGATGTTCCATGACAGATGTCTGAATGCTAAAGTAAATAAAATCCACGAAAGAGCACTCAGAATTGTTTATAAAGACAGTCATGCTGACTACGAAGCATTGCTGACTTTGGATAATGCAGTATCAATTCACCAACGCAATCTACAGTACTTGATGATAGAAATATACAAAACCAAACATAACCTGAACCCTAGTTTCATGAGTGAGATTTTTGAAACAAGAAATGTACATTATGATTTGCGAACTAAAAATAATCTTTGTATTCCAAAAGCCAGGACAACTTCTTATGGTATAGAAACTGTGAGATATTTAGGTCAAAAACTGTGGCAAACACTACCTCACAGTATAAGAGAGTCCCAATCATTGGCAACATTTAAAAAAGAATTAAGAGCACACCCTATAGAATGCGACTGTAGATTGTGTAAAAAATTTATTGCTGGGCTAGGTTTTATTTAGAACATTATACCTTAAACCTTTTTAGTATTGTATCATATATTTTTATTTCATACTAACTCTTTATAGATAGTTGGCCTTAATTAGCTTCTTTATAGCTATCAGCCGTTCATTTAGTACGCCAACTTTAAACAAATTATTTATTATTATTATTATTATATATCGAATGATGTGTAGTTTAATCGGATTCCGATAATAGCTTGGCTTTTAGAAAGAGAAAAAAGTATCGTGTCAAACACGTTTACCATAACCTTAAATCAACTGCCATCCACAGCAATGCAGAATATTTTTACAGCAATAATACTAAATTGGCGCCTTAAAAACTTGGCCACCATCAATCAGCACAGGTTTTTTAGAATTTTTAAGGGCATTTTTTAAGAATTTCGAGTGACGGGGAAGTTTTCAAAAGGGCCCACGCTTAAGACTCCGCTTACTTCAGAATCCTGGCTTGTTTCAAGGGCTAGATGGGTTGTTTCTAGAGCCGCGGAGAGAGGGGGCAAGGGGAGGCAAATTGCCATAGGGCGAAGACAGGGTCGCACTATCATTCTTAGGGCCCCCAGGCCCAAGAATAGACAAGACCTCCCTTTTAAAAAGTCTGAACATTTTATTTGTAGAAGCCGAGAAGAAAATATTTCATGAGTAATTGAAGAATTAATAGAAAGCTTAAAGCTTTGTCTCTGTAGCTACAAAAACTCAATTGATGAGTCGAATAAATACATTTATTACTATGTATATAAAAAAAGTGAATTTTGCTCGATTTTCTATTATATATGTGTCCTTAACGTCTGATCGATTTTTGCTCGATATATATGTGTCCTTAACGTCTCCATTTACTCATGTCTGTAGAATCTTCCTGTGAAAATTCGCTAGCCAGGAATATTACACCAACCCTTATTATCATGAATCAATTGGGACTGATCATTCCATGAATCTTTCTAAAAACTCTATCATACCTGTCCCACCTTGTGGAGACAATGCTATTCGTAAATAAGAAACCCTATGAAACATCCGAAAATTTCTTGAGGCCCCACATTTTTTGTGGGCTCCCGGCGTGGGCCCTGGGCCAGGAGATCAAGGGGGACTCACAAAGTAATTAATTTTGTTTTGAAATGGAATTAATTAAAATTAGCAGAATACTATCTAAAAACATTTCAAACGATTGCAAGAAAATCAACGAATTTA